ATATAAAAAAAAAATGGCACATAAGCTTTTAAGAAATAAAACTAACTATAATGTGCATTTTGATAATACCTGTTGTTAGATCACGCTCTTTGTCATTACTTGTTGATACAACCTTATTATAATGACTAATCTAATTATTGGCTTTTTTAAAATTTTGTTGTTACATATATGAAATCATTATAACCATAAAATTAACCACAATATTAGCGGACTCCAATAATGGCGACAGTGATCAAGATATATGATAATGTATAGTATTCTCTTACATAAAAATGCATTTTCTGTTAATATAATATAATAATTTCAAAAACCAATTCAACATAAATTAATAAAATTTATGATTAGAATGAAATAGCAGGCACATATAAAGCATTTGATAAATCCGTAACAGATATCATCTTATTTTAATAGGACAAAATATAGAAGGTCATTTTGATTTTATATTTTTGATCACATGTGTTTAGTTCTTTCATTTTATTTTCTTTCATTTATTTTTATGTGGTGGAAATTAACTTCATTAAAATAAATAATGCATTATATCGCCATGAACCAGTTAACAGATCGACTAACTAGCTCTACAAACCTAAATTGAAACAGGTGAATTTAGTTTAAAAAAAAAAAAAAATTCTAGTTATTGTAGTTGTTGCGTCACCATCAAGTAAAATTTCAAACCTGTAATTACAACTACTATAACTACCATAAAGTTAGATATCTGGATGAAAATGAAATGACTGCAGTTGTTAATGAACAATTATCAAAATGTAGTTAGGGGTAAACAGTAACTATTCCATTAAATTAATTTATCTCTTCGGATATAATTAACCAACATATTCATGAAAAAACCGTATGATTATGTATACTCCCAGCATGCACGCTGTTGTAAGAGTGAAATGTACAACAAATTAACTACACAAGTGAAAAAAAAAAAATCAAATAAAATAAAATAAGACAATAATAATTATTTTTTTTTTATTTTTTCTTTTACCTTTTAGTTAGTAAACTGGAAGCGTGAAATATTTGTGATGATGGGAGCCACTACGTAATGTTGATGATGGGTTGATGCTCGGGAAGTATAAGCACAAACAGTATCCCCAAAAAAAAGTGCAACTAAGGAAGAAGGGCTCAAAAAAACAATTCATTATGCCTAGTTTTCTTGGAATGCCGGCCAATACAGTTTTGAACCTACATTTTGTTATTTTAACAAATGTATAAGATTACGATTTTATGTACCCTAGCAATAATCAACTTAGACGAACTGGAACAGTTTAACAAAAAAAAAAAAAAATACTCCCTTTGTACTAAAATGATTGCCAGTTTGAATTTTCATTATCAGTATAATTTATAGTAAAAATAAAAATTTAAACTGAACAATAATTTCAAAACGAACAGATTATTTTTCCTGGACTTAATATACGTGCTTACTTGAATTATCAATGCACAACCGGGGGCGGATGTAGCATACATGCCCGGAGATGCCCGGGCACACCCATAATTTTTTGGTTTAATTTTTTTAAAGGTAAAATTTTTAGTTCCTATAAAAAAGCATCTCAAGGGCATCTGCTCTTTTTAGTCCTAGAAACGGTTCGGCAACTTTTTTTGTGACAGAAAATGCGAGATGAAGTAGTTTCGTCCCTTTAATTAGTGCAATTTACATTAGATGGTTTTTGTTTGGGGTTATTAAATCTTATTATATATGTATATGTATATATATGTGTATATATATATATATATAGTCATATATTAAACAATTTATTTTTTTCTTGAGATGTAATGGAGCACACGCAGAAAAAATTTTCTGGATCCGCCACTGTGCACAACACATTAAGTTGTGGAGTATATATACAGAACACTAAGGATATAGTTTTAGACTCATAATAACATCAAGTACGCATTATGTAGTACAATCATGTCATAAAACATATGCACTTAAACTGACGTAGAAGCAGAGTGATTATACTTGAAGTACGTATCAATTGCTCTAAATTCATTATTATTACCAACGAGATGAAACCACTAATTAATCTTCAACCAAAAAAAAAAAAAAAAGAAATTTCTAACTTATAATAAAACCTTAAAATTTAAGTTTCCAAGTTATTCCAAAAAGAGTAAAAAGACAACGCTTCTCTAACGCCCAAGTCCCAACCCCTCGACAGGAAACAATACCTTAAGCCTTAAACAATACACTTCTCACATCATCGATCCAGCCATAATCAATTACTACTATTTTTTAAAAAAAAAAAAAACATAAAGACAAAATAAGAATAAATAAATAAAATTTTCTTTTAATTCCATTTTCAACCCCCCTAATTTATTTCAAAATTCCAATCTGGACTCAACTCCCAATGACTTAAGCCGAGACTCCCGGGCGAAATCTGGAAATCAAATTTTCTTTTCCACTCAATCAAAGAACATAAATTAAGCGGGGTAAAAAGAGAAAAATTCTAAAGTCTGCCTAACTTATTTTAATTTAAAATTTTAGATTATTTTCTATGAAAGAGAAATTAAAAATTTAAATTCCGTGGAATCAGCCAATTAACCCGTGAATTCTGTTTCTGTTTCCCACTCCATTTCCTTCCCCTTAGATTGTTCGTACGGTCACCGTAACTTCCCCCTCCTTCCCATTCCTCCGCCAACATTGTGGTCCCCACATAAACGCTTTCCCGGTAAACGGAGTTTTCCTACGTGGCACGCTGTTTTGCAGCAGTAATTTTTTTTTGTCATGCTTTAGCTCTTACTATTTCAGTAAAACATTTTATGAACCTCATGTATCCTTAAGCGATTTCACAAAACATTTTCACTATCTCTATCACTACTAGTTAAATATGCCCGGAATTTATTTGTGAATAAATAAATAGTAATCTTTGGTTCTGGTCAATTTTATTAGTTGGGGTTGGTCATTTTAATGAATCTAACCATTCATCAATTTTCTTTCTCTGTCTCATTTATTTATGTTATTAGTACGTATTTTTCTCAAAATTTTCTATTCTACCACACCAAAGGGGAAAATTAAAAAAAAAAGAAAGAAATTGAATTGGTTTCTATGCAGGCTTGCAGCCAGGAGGCCAGAAGCAATCCCGAAGATCAGCTTGCAGCCCAGGAGGACGCACAGAGGCGTGCACGCGTGGAGTCTCTCCCTATTAGTTGTATCTCCTTCCCCCAGTAGACTCCACAAATATAATAACCTGAGATATCTTAGCAATCCAATTTTAATACAAAATTATGTATGATTTTTTTTCCCTTTCTATAAAGAAATTGTATACACCTTGAGCACCTTATTTCGTTGATTCTTACATCCATTGATGTTCCTAATCAATTACATATCCAGTTAATTCTAATTTGATCAATATTATAATGCCTGCCAAGATCTGGTCCTGGATAATATTATTAATATCCCTTATCCAAATGGCTACCGTTTTCGCACAATTACAATGCAAAAAACAGGATATATATTTTGAGGAGAAGAGAATTAATTTTGAAGTAGGACTTCAAATCTAAGTGATATAGTAGTATAAGTTTGCATTGAATTTAACCAATTAATTTTTACTGTTGAAGGAAATCTTTAAGTGGGCCATGCAAAAGTTAAACCTGCAAATTAGTTGAAGTTAGTTATTTAAAGATAGTCTGTCAATATCAACAAAATCTGAAGCAATTAAAAAACTTTACTCAGCTTGTCAATCCACTTTCATGTGCAAATCAACTTTCTATATTTAATTTCAATTTAAAGTATAATACGCTTAAAATTTAAAAATGCCTGGAAAATAAAGCCACATTTCAAGAATGGTATCATTTCTAATTTCTTTTTGAAGAAAAAATGGAATGATAAAAATTAATTAAGTCTCAAATTGACAGAGAAAACTGACATTTATCACATTCATAAAAAGAGATAAAAAAAAAACACATTAAAAGAAAAAGAAAGGCACGTGAGATCTAGGCCTATGATCACGTGACATGTGGAATTTGCGTCGGTGAGAGACAAACAAGAGAGGTAGCGGTTAGAGGCAGTTAGTTATTGGATGGGAACGGGGTTAAAAAGAACATTGTATAGACAAAACGCCAAAAGAAAAATGAGGCAAAGCGGTAAAAAATAAAAGGCAAACCCTTTTTTTTTTTTTTTTACCAATTACCACACTCGCTAACAATTTTCTTTCCCGTAAAAATTAACACGAGATTCATTCAATCTGAATGATAAACTCTTTTAGGTCCGATGTCTCCCAACTTTTGGAAAGATTTTTTTGACAAAGCTAAAAGATACTACTATACTACAATCTTAACTGATTTCTTGTTAACTATATTGGATAATACTCCATCGTCCCATAATTATTGTCCAGTTTGGGTTTTCAATTCTAGTTCAAATCGTACTAAAAGTAAAATCTCAAACTGGACAATAATTTTGAGACCGAGGGAGTACACATTTTATCCCTTATAATTTGCTGAATTAGTGGGCAAGGTACAATTTTTATTTTTTAAAAAAAGTACAGTATGAAATAATGAAAAATCAATGTAAAAAATAATTTCCTCATCCACAACTCCAGATTTTCAGACAAGATAAAGCGATAAAATATTGGATAAAACAAATATAGATAATTAGATACTACTAGTATTACATTATATTTTAAAAATACATTATCCTAAATAGTATAAAGATTCCATTTCAAATCTAAGACTGTTATTACTAAAAAAAACAACTTATCAGAATTAGCTGGCAAATCAGAATGGATTATACAGTAAATGATAATTTTATTTTATTAGTAACAAAAATTGATTTAATTTCTTCAAAAACTTTATACGAAAAAAATATACTAGAATAACATAGTAATTGTTGAAATTGGAGGAATGAGGTAAGAATTGTGTTGACAAGCGGCCGTGAGAAATCAACGTTTAATAATGAAAAAAATGGAATGACTAAATAGAAAGTGGATAAACGGCCGTCAAAAAGAAACGTTAAATGAAAAGACAGTCTATAAAAAGCAGAGGCCGTTATGTTGGGGGTAGTGCTCTGAGAGAGAAAGTGTTATTACTTCTCTTCTTCTTCTGCATCGTCTTTGACTCTCTCTGCTCTTTCTTCCCTCCCCTGCCTCTTTGCCTTCTTCCACACTTTCTCTTTCTAGTTTTTTTTTCCTGCATTTTTTAGAGAGAGAAAGAGAGAGTTTTTGGCGACAATGGGGAGTGATTCCACGAAGAAATGGGTGGCGGTTTCGGCTTTTGCAGTAATGGCGGTGGTTCTGGTTGTTCTCGTCGTCGGAATTTCTGGTTCTGTTTCGAAATTCGATGCTTCCTCCGAGATAAGGTCGTTTTTTCCTCCGGCTTCTGCTTCATCTTCTTCTTCTCCTTCCTCTTGCGGCGGTGTTCTGCATTTTCCTCCATTAAAATTTTCCTCAAAAAAAGCAGAGCATTTTTTTTCTCCTAAATGTTGCATAATTCGGAGCAATTTCGTCTGTTTCTCAGCATCTTTTTGAGTTACTGAAGCATCTTCTGCTTTTTTAAGCATTTTTCAAGTTCGAATTCCTCTGAAATTTGAAGTTTTTGCTTTGGTACAAAAGTAAAATTGGGGGAATTTAGTGAAGAAAAAGAGTCGAGAATTTTCATTACAGTTCGAATTAGTCCAGAATTCTGAAAATGTTGTGCGTTTTTTGTTGTGAAATTTTACAGCGATGCGGAGAAGGAGAATTTGGTGAGCTTGCATAACTCAACAATGGCGGCCAGGTGAATTTTTCTTTTTTTTTTTTCACCCGAGTCGACTCAGTACAGAGAATCTCACTCGGAACGGTGTTTTTTTCCCCACCTCCGATCTCGTCCGTTGATTATTCCCCCTCTCAGCAGGAATCAAATTCCGTTAAGTTGAATGAAATCCCAGCCGTTGAGATCCAGTATTCTGGTTCCAACCACGAGATCTCGACCGTTTATCTCGTTAACATTCCATTTTCTGTTTTCCTCCTTTCTCTTTGGATACCTTTTTGTTTTCCGCCCTTCTGTCCATTTCCCCAACCTTCTGTTTCACTCTCTCCGAAATTCCATAATTACCCCTCACCTTTTCTGTCTTTTTTAACTTTGCCAATTGGGGTAGTCTTGACATTTCGCTCCTCAAGGATCCTCTGGTTTTTTGTTATTTGTCAGAAGGTCACTTTTTGGACGGTTTTTAACTGTTTGTGTGAGTGTGTGACTGTGTGTGGGGGTGCAATAACTATGGCGAGTTCTCTGACCAACCCACCTTTGGAGCACTGTTTTTAATTTGTTAGATAGAGAGACAAGTAATAAAAATGGTAAACAAATTCGTAGCATTTTACACACAGTGTTGATGTGGTGTGTGTAGAAGGTGTGGCTTTTTTTGGGCAGCAATACTCTGCGTACTGTACTTTTTGTGTCACGACCACTTTTTTTTTTTTTTTTTGCCTGCGTGATATGCTGCAGTTAATGTCGGTGGTTTTACCGGTCCCTACTGATAGAATTCTTACATTAGCCTCGGTTGTTTACTATGAAATGGTAAAAAAAAAAAAGTGGGAATTGAAATCAGATGTTTTGAATCATAGATAGGAGATTTGATCTGAGGCTTTGATTGGTGTGATGAGAAATTGAGTGATTGGTGAAATAGAAGGAAGTATTAAATGCTTTACCATAATTTAGTGGTGAATTAAAGAAGTGCATTGTACTGGAATTTAATGGTGATGGGTTTTTTTGTTGGTTTTTGGTTGCACAGGTTGGAAGAGGTTGAATCTGCTTTGAATGAACATGCAGTTGATGACCCTGAAGAGATTGCTTCCATGGTGGATATGTGGGTTCTCTATTTTCTTTTTTAACTTTTAATTCATCTCTCGTTGTCTCTTTCATTTTAGAAATTGGTTTCATTTGCATTTACTGAAAGCTCTGTTTTTGGTTGCTAAAGATTTTTCCTTTGTGGAAAAAAAATAAAATACCAATATCTGTGGTCCTTTAAGCAGCTACTTCTCGTAGTATGCAAATTAAGCAGACCTAATCCAATCTTCAGTGTAATCTTTAATTTAGCAACAAAGTTTTCTGTGGTGATTCAATGAATAATCTGGGTTTTTTGTCAGCTATGAGCTAGTCTAAATTAATGACTCATCCTGCATTGTTGTTTGTGTTGTGTGTTAAAGATTTGTTGGCATTGGTATTATTGTTCAGTTTTTTTTTTATATATATATAATATCATATCCAAGAAGGAGTTTAATCAGATCCGTGTTCTGCGCTCTCTAATTCTTTCGTTTTTTCTTATGTTGTTGGCGCCATCTATATATAATGTTATTCTTATGGGAGAGGTCAATTAGACAAGGACTTTTTGTTAGGAGAATTTAATGATTTATTAGTATGATCTAATTCTATTCATTTGATTGGTAGTTAGAAAAGTATTAGAGAATTATAATACATCAAAAGCAGTAACTAATCCAGAGAAAAAGAATATTATAATGTGGCTCTGTTTGTTTACCAATTGTAAAGTCAGTATCATTTGACTGATGTCGTCTGCCATTTGCATATGCATGTCGAATTCCATGTGCATAAGTGCATGTGCTTGTTAGAAAAGTAGCGCAAAGACAATTCCATTGGCTCTGCATGCCTGAATGGTTTTCATTGCTTGAGATACGAAACCTGATCAGATTAATTTGCTTAGATAATGGTTTTGATATTCCCTTCGTCGTATTTAATCCTTTCACGTGATTGCATTATCCATTGTGTGTGTCTCCGCTGATGTGGTAGCGTTTAGTTTAGAGTAATTAAAGTCATGATGATGTTAGAAAAAGAAATTTTGAAAATTGACTTTGATGAGAATGTTAACTTTCATTTTCATTTTCATTTTCTGCCTTAATTTGCTGTTTGAAAGAGGATTGAACTTGGAAGACTAGTTTTCTCCACCGACACCTACAGCAAAAAATTTTCCTCTTTTGCTTGATGCAACTTTACTGTCTATTTTGCCTTGAGGCAGAACAATAATTGAGACAACAAAAATATCTGATGGGACATGTGACACAGTAGGAGCTATAACAGTGTACTAAAACAAAAATATGTGCCTGTGTTTGACATCTTTAACTACAATAGCCATCTTGAATCCTAATTAGCATTTTGGTTTAACAGGAGCATCAAAAACAGTACTGAGAGGCGAAAATTGGGTTATTTCTCATGTGGAACTGGTAATCCTATTGATGACTGCTGGCGTTGTGACCGGAACTGGCAAAAGAACAGAAAGAGGCTAGCTGATTGTGGCATTGGATTCGGGCGCAATGCTATTGGTGGTCGTGATGGCCGATACTATGTTGTGACTGATTCTGGTGACGATGATCCTGTTAACCCCAGGCCTGGTACTTTACGTCATGCTGTCATCCAGACAGAGCCCCTCTGGATTGTCTTTAAGCGGGACATGGTGATCACCTTGAAGCAGGAGCTGATTATGAACAGCTTTAAAACCATTGATGCCCGTGGAACCAATGTGCACATTGCTAATGGAGCCTGCATTACGATCCAGTTCGTCACCAACATTATCATTCATGGATTGCACATCCATGACTGCAAGCCAACTGGAAATGCCATGGTTAGAAGTTCACCTACACATTACGGTTGGAGAACAATGGCCGATGGTGATGCAATCTCCATTTTCGGTTCAAGCCATATCTGGGTTGATCACAATTCCCTCTCCAATTGTGCTGATGGCCTTGTTGATGCTGTCATGGGCTCAACTGCAATTACCATCTCCAACAATTACTTTACTCACCACAATGAGGTATGTGAATTCTGAAACCACCCTAGCAGCCAAATTCCTCTGATTCAACTTCTATGGTAATACTAAGTTATTAACTGTGTAACATCTATATATATGGAAAAACAGGTGATGTTGTTGGGTCACAGTGACTCCTATGTAAGAGACAAGCAAATGCAAGTGACAATTGCCTACAACCACTTTGGTGAGGGTCTCATTCAGAGAATGCCAAGGTAATTTTGTGGCACATTTTGATAGAAAAGTAGGACAATTGACATTTAATAGGAAGTTCATCTGCTTATGTCATTCTCATTGCCTGAACTTAAATTCTTTCTCATTTCTGAACTAACATCAGAGACTTTGTTGTAAATTGCAGGTGCAGACATGGTTACTTCCATGTGGTGAACAATGATTACACTCATTGGGAGATGTATGCCATTGGCGGAAGCGCTAGCCCCACGATTAACAGTCAGGCCAATCGGTACCTTGCCCCTGTTAACCCTTTTGCCAAGGAGGTAATGCACTGTTGACAGCCTTCTTCAACTTCCTACCTCATGGAAAAGCTGAACTTTTTCAACATCAGCGCTTAACGGGTTTTGGAATCTTCTTGAACAGGTAACCAAGAGAGTCGAAACCGGCGAGTATGAATGGAAGCATTGGAACTGGAGATCAGAAGGTGATCTGATGCTCAACGGTGCATATTTCACTCCATCAGGAGCAGGAGCCTCAGCCAGCTATGCCAGAGCTTCAAGTTTAAGTGCCAAGTCCTCTTCGATGGTGGGAACAATTACTTCTGGTGCTGGAGCCCTTGTTTGCCGTAGAGGCCGTACTTGCTAGCTACTACATTCAATTGCACAAACATAACACAGTCACAGAGTCCTTTTTTTTTGTCTTCTGTTTCTCATCATAGTAGTTAGCATATAGTACCATATTACAGCAAATTGTTTGCAAGAGTCATCCCATCCATATTACTTCATTTGGCAAGTGTACATTTTTTACACATTGTCAATTCATTCATCCCCTACATCCATACACCATATGTCTTGTTTTACATCCTCTTTGTGTCTTCCATTGTTGGCAACCTCGGCCTGCTTCTAAACTGCAGGAAATTTAATGCCATTCCTAGAAGCCGGTACAGAAGCGTTGTTCATATCCTTGATTCTTTCTTCTTTTTGTTCCTTTTTTTTTTTTTTTTTTTTACCTTATTATCCATCCATCCCGGCTTTCGCCAACGTTCTAACCATCCACTCAAAGATGTTTGGTATTTTGTCTTGGGCTTTTCCTTAGGAACTAATTCCTCTGTAATTTTTGGTTGCCCTTCTTCTCTTTTGCAAGTCATATACTACTACTACTACTACTACTACTACTACTACTACTTCTACCATAGTGTGAATGTCAATTCCTTTGGAAAAAAACAAAAGGAAAAAAAAGCAAGTGTATCTTTTGTAATAGATGATGATTGCATATTTTGCATAGCAAAAACAAGGTAATTAGCCTTTCCTGTTTTAATCTCTTAAACTTTTTATCTTTGTCTTGTCAATCAAGAACAGTGTTCTCTTGGTTGTTCATCTGTTCTTCAGAAAAAAGCTTCAAAAGCTTTAATGCTAAAACACTATTTTACTCTTCTGTTAAGTGTTGGTTACCCTTTACTTTTCTTTTTTTTTTTTTTTTTACTTTGGCTTAACTGCAATAATTATTCCATGTTGCACATGGTGAAAAGAAGAAGATCAAAAAAGATGTGAGACTTACATCTAATGATGAGTGATTATTCCTAGAAATCTCAAGGATTAAGATATGTTAACTGCAACTAACCAACTTCTTTATGATGAACTTTTTTACTGTGGGAATTAAGAAAGTGACATCCAGATGGGATCGAATTAGATTGAAATTATACATTACACATATTCTTCCTTATCAGAGACCAGAAAAAAAAAAACACATCAAAAGACAGGTTTTCTCATTGGGTTCTGCTTCTGACTTCTGAAGTATAAAGTCCCTATTTAGCAGGGTGTAGCACAGTTATATTGGGTGGTGGGGTTGATTGAAATAGAAACCATTACCCTACTACAAAAGGGCAAGTTCCTTCATCATCTTCCTTATTCTGAATTAAATGAGCTAGAAATGTTGCAGAGTCAAAAAAAAATAAAAAATAAAAAACATTACTAGCTGAGCTTGAAATGTGAAAAGGAAGCCATACATTTCAACTAGGGTCCATTATTTACCTTTCACAAATAGACTTGCTGTTATTGTAACTTTTAGGTACAAATTTTAAACCCAAAACCATTTTAGTCAAGAACACATCACAAGTCCATACGCGGTATATCTACTTTGAGAGAATTGATCTCATATGGCATTAGTCTAAGCTCCAATTGACAAACCTTTTTTTTTTTTTCCTGCATTAAAAGCTTTCTCTTTGATTTATTGTCACACTCAATACAAGAACATGATCAGCTTCTACATTTTTACAGTGTTTTTCGTTGCTTTAACCGTTTAAAATTTTAATTTTCAAAATTGATATAAAAGATACACTCTCGATATGTTGACATACTCTTTTTTTTTTTTGATAAATAAGGAGGCAACCATCCTAACTTCTTTTCCAACATGTTTGATTTGTCTAGTTTGATATAGCTATATCAATGTGGTATGTATATGAAAATGTCCCCTCCAAGTATAAATGCCCATTGTTGATCAAAGAAATCCAATTCTCCATTTCATTTCATTTCATTCCCATGCCACGTGCAAGACAGACATGAATCACTGAGCCTCACATGTGAGATGGGGTCCACATTCCATGTGAAGAAGAAGAAGAAGAAGAACCCTTTTTTATTTTAATTTCTTTTATATATATATATTTTGTTTTTTTGGCCTAAAAACTCAAAAATCAAAATAGACATACTTCGTCTTTAGGAGGGGTCTTTGTTGTTAATGCGTTTTGCCAACGGCACATGTAAAATCATGTTATGTGTACAAAACAGACCCTTTCTTGATCCAACGGGGAGACGTCATTTTCAGCATTTGGGAAAAAGGGAAAAAAAAAATAAAATTCAGTACCATTCACTTTCAATTTGATGTTGTTTGTTTTTATAAATCGACTGATTTCATCAACTCATAAATATTCTGCGGCGTTACTGGTTAGGTCGTTTAATAAATTAGACAATACGAATTGTACACTTTCCGTAATAAAAGTTTCTTCTACAAGAGTGCATTTTTATGATGACTTTTAATCTAGCCTTTTTGTTTTTAAGTACAATAAGAATATGTAAATGTCGTTTTCCCCCCTTCCTTACAAGGGAGAAGGGATAAGGATAATCAAAATTATTCAAACACATAATGATATGTATACATTGCATATCGTTATGTGCTACGCATATAAATTGCATTATATTCTTAACTTTAACAATAATACTGATTCATTAATGAGTTCTTAATAAATGTTTGCTCTTTCTCAATTTTAGAAAGGGAACCAAAAAAAAGAAAAAAACTCATTAGTGGATCAAAATATTCGTCTGATTTATTATCGCATGTAGTTTACTCTTTTAGTCCCAAAACTATTTTTCAATTTGAATTTTTAGTTATAGTACGAATTGAAACTAAAAATGAAAATCTAAACTGGACAATAATTTTGGGAAGAGGAGTACATATTTATGCTCGCCTTATCAATGAACCCTATATTGTAAATCTTAGTTTTAATGAAAATAATAAATGGGGATATTATTGGTCTCATTTAGTGGTGTAATTTTTGCTCTTAGAAAGTGAAAACTTATGAGAAAAGGCAGATCTTGTCTCACTAATTACTCATCCTAATTTTGTTGGGAGAAAAAAAAAAGGGGACCTTTGATTTGGGATATCAGAATGATTAGTGATTAGTTAGGTTAATGATTGTGCTTTGGACTCAATCATAACCAACAAAATTATGTATGTCCATGATTAAACGGGGAGAAATGATAATCACGCAGGTTTTCACCTTTTGACAGTTTTAACTTTGACAGATTGGTAATTTAGAAAAGCCACCCACCTATCTAATCTGGAGACAAATAGTTAGATGTTTGTTAGAGAGTTTTACTTCCGAGAAGGACATGCGTGAAGAGCTTCTCGAACGAATTTAACAGCCCTTGATGTAGAAATTGTTTCTTCATTGAAATCCATTGGTTTCTTCTAACGATATTGTTTACATTTCATTTTATTTGCAGGGAAGTTTGATATGTGTTAATCTGTGCAAATTTGCACATTCTTCCAAGAATGATTACCTTTTCTCACAGTGGCGGAGCTACAGAGGACGGAGGGGTGCGGTCGCACCTACTCAATTTTTTGTATTTAGTAAGGATATTCTAAATTTTTAATAGAAACTATATGTTGAATAATTTTTCGCATCCCTTACATTAATTTTCTAACGTTATTAATAGTTTTTTCTAAATTTCGCACCCTCAATATTAATTTCCTGGCTCCGCCACTGCTTTCTCACTTTTCTCAATCAACGAACCGCTTCAGATTTAATTTGGTTAGGTTCACAATGAAGCGAAGAACTGATTTGCATCGTGATATTTGGGTTTAGTTAAGCAAACGCAATGCTTCAATTATCTCTAACCCAAGATTCTGATAACATTATCTCTTGCAAATTAACCTAAACGATGCTGTAAATGAGTCGAAATCTGTTTAGAACTTTTGTGTCTCAAGACGAAATTTTAGTTCACTGCCAAAGCAGATCTTAGCAGAAACCACTCGGCAATTGTCTCATCTCTCATCTGTTTATCCTCTTCCCATTTTTGAATGGTGTGATTCGATTAGAAGTGTTGAATCCAAACAACAATAAAAGTTAGCCTGCTCCTAGACAACAGCCAAAATAAGGCCATTGAACAAAGCAGGCAAGTATCTACTCTTGATTACATTAAAACCCAAAACTTCACAATAAGGCCGGCCACCCAACAAAACTCGGGAATAGGCATCACTACATATACCAAAATTTCACCGATGGACTAAAACTAACCAGTTGAGGTACCATTATTGACCTACTGAAGAGATGGAACTTGAAAGCAGCAAGCGTGACTAAAAGGACAGTGACACAACATTGAGTTATTCAGAAGAAGCTGGTATTCGACCATCAAATGTCAATTACGTTTGGTGAATGTAACTAAAAACCACCAGATAGGAAACTTGGACTTGCATTTAGTCCACAAAAATTGATCCTTGCGCAACTGACTGATTCATCATCTTACGGTAGGGCAAATGGTCATATCTAAATTTAGCAGAACCTAAGAGAACTGGAGTTTATGAAATAGACAATTAAGACATTTCAACTGTTCCTAAGTAGCTGCGAAATAAAAGAAACTTGGCCTGTTGCCAAATTCTATAATGAAGCTGAGTCATGAAATTCTCAAGATCTAATAATTTCTTTCATTGGAAGCTCATGGGTTCACATTAGCTTCCATCTCACCAAAACTAATATCCTAATAATTTTCTGCTTTAAGGACCTTATGAATGTATGTGAAGAGACGGGAGAAGCTAGAATCTGTAAATAACCCAGAGATTTTTAATCCAAAGAGTGACCCAATCAAGCAATAGCCAGTTCTCCAAAGAGCCAAAAGGATAAATTGATTCCAAAATCCAGTTATACTACCCAAGGAGATTACTAAAAAGAAGAAAACGCAAACATCAGAGGATTGAAACAGGAAATGTAAAGAACTGTTCAGAAGCTAACAAAAAGTGGTGGAAGACATTTTACCAACAAATGTCCATACAATATAAAGATAATTCAAACAAATATTGTTACTATCACTATTGTTCTTCCTCCATCTTAAAAGTGAAGATACAACAGAAGTGAGAACCAGCACAAGATAACTACAAGGAAAATGGAAATTTCCACTAACAATTTCTTCTTTTTTTTTTTGTCAAAAGCGATATTCATTTCTAAGATGAAAGAAAAAGGTGAAATAATGTACACTTAGCTAATACAATCTGCCTTAAACATCTCATCCAACCACAAAGGGGTATCATTTTCCCAACTTTATGTACACTTGTTAGGTAATGCTAAATTGGCTAGATTATGACATGTAGAATTCCATTTTTTCCTAATATATAGAAATTTACAGCTATCAAATCGAGTTATGAGCAAAAAGATGTCTTCGACTATAGTAATCACATCTAAAACAGGAGCAATACACCCTTGTAACCAAGCGACCATATTCTTCACATCTAGCTGCAACTCAATATTCCTGATCTCCATTTGATGAGCATTTTCCATAGCTAATCTTACTGCTTCAAGCTTAGAAATTTCCACTAACAATTAACGAGTAGATATATGCAACAAATCAAAAGAAACAAGTTTAGATAACAGTAAAAGAAGCATTTCGCAGAGATGACCAGTTCTTATTACCTATGCTAGATTAGGAGCAGGATGCGGAAGCATGTCGATAACATCCGAATCAGTAATCATCACTGGCTCTTCTGCATCATGATCATTAACCAAAACCAAACTATCAACAACTACATCAACTTGCCAAGGCTCTCTCATGAAACTAACACGAGGGTAGGTCACTGATTTAGTCTTAGGATCAGAAAGAGCCAAGGATTTCCAGTACCAAAAGAGAATTTTGCCATCCTTGGACATGAAAATTGGAATGCAGTACTTCACACGACTGGGATCCTCAAAGTTAGGAACTAAAAGCACTTTGGTCCAAGATTCCTTCACTCCATGTTCCTTCATAATCCAAAGATCGACATGAGAGGTGCGAGAATAACAGCAGACAGCAAGACAGCCATTCAAAACTTCCAAATCCAGATCACAAGCATCTTTCCCATAGTCGGGTTGTTGCACCACTCCATAAGTTTCAGTCTTCAAGTCAAAGAAACCAATGTCGGTCCCCTTACTAGTACGATTTCCCCAATAAAGCTTCCCACGAGCAACACGAAACACTGGATCAGGCCAAACACCAAACGCAAAGCCGTCAATCCTCCTCCCAAGTGTTGGTGTTCCCACTGTACACATCAATCCAGTTATCCCCAGAACTATCAGTCGCAACAACATACACTCGACAATCATCGTCAACCTGATCATACTCAAATAAAATTTGAAAGCTCTTCCACTGTTTGGATTCAGCGTCAAACCGAGCCAATTTCTTACACTTCCTAATAGCAGGGTTCCAAAAAAACAGTTCATCCCTATTCGCGCCAACACAAACAATAACATTTGCACAACCCACAATATCACTGTCTCTGCTAATGACACAATTTTCCACACGTTTTGACACAATCGCAGTCTTCGCAGGACAAAACAAGACAGGAGCAAGGGGGAAATACCTGGTGTCGTAGTAGTTGTACACCGAAGCACTTGTGGACCCCCGAAAAAGCACCCGGTGGTGAGCGTAATCACCCCGGCTGGAAGAATTCCTGAGGTGGGCTTTGATGAATTTCGGGTCCGAAATCATGGCTCGCCAGGATTTGGAGACGACCCGGAACCGAAGGAAGGTTTTGGCAGGAAGCCAAGTGAGGATCTCGATAATGAGTTCGTTTGGGAGAGAATCGGGGGATTCTTCAAGGGATGGGTCCGGATTTTCATGTTTCGGGCGGGAAGGAGGAGGGATTAGTTGCAGAGTCGCCATGGCCGTGAATCGAGAAATGCTTCAGACAGGAAGAAGATGAAGGTTTAAGCATTTTAGGAAGGTTTTGTTTTTTTTTGTTTTTTTTTTTGTTCTATTTATTCCCTTAGACTGCAAAGGCGCGATTGACTAGTGTTTAATTTTTTTAATTGAACACCTTAAAGGCGTGACAAGGTTTCCTTCAAATTTTCTACGCCTTTTTGTTCGTTTAATACTATATTCTAACTATGGACGAAAAGGCGTCGTTTTCCATTTCATCTCATTGCGCCATATCAGTCGGTCTAATTTTTTGCACCCAAAAAAGAAATGAAGCAATAAAAAGATGGTTTTAGTCTTTTAGATCTCTAATTGCGATATCATTAGTGTTTTGGAGGTATTAATGGAGTACTAACACACTATCCGCAAGTTTGTATAGTTAAGGCCGCTAAAGACATCATATTCTACATTATTATTGGTTTATTTTTATGCTTAATGCAATAACACTTTGTTGCTGTTTTTATAAATAATCTCCCTGAAGACACAAGTAGAAATTTGTATAAATACAGTATTGGTTTTTTTTTTTTTTTCTGCCTTAATGCAATATCACTTTGTTGTTGTTTTCATAAATAAACTCCCTGAAGAAACTAAGTAGAGGTTAAAAAGAAAAATCCGTGCCTTTGCTGAAGATGAAGTCGGATTGGATTACATTGATTATCCTAAATTAATTGATAGTAATGTAATATGTGATCACTTGCTAAGCATGCATCAGCAATTAGACACACTTGTTAGAAAAATGTTCTTAGCATCTGATCTAATTTATTTAGAGTAATTAGTAGTCCTTAGGGCTGCTTATTCGGGCAGTTCGGATGAAGTTCAGTTTGGGTTAATCGCATTTTTTCCTTCACGAAACTTGACCGAAACTGAACCAGAAAGTTTAATGCACCGAACCGAACTGACCGATTAATCAATCGGATTTTCGGTTCGGTGTCCGATTGAACCGAATCCAATACAACGTTCTCTGTATTTTCCCATCTTTCCCCACCTTCAAAATTCCACCATCATCTTCGGATCTTCCAATGTTCATGACTTTCCTCATCAACCTATCCCTCTTCACATTCCTAAATACACAGAGTCAACACCATCATCAGTATCATCATTAATCAGTTTAAACAGGCTGGTTTTGGAAGCTCCTTTCTTCCTCTATTCATTTGTTGCAATTTATACACAAATCCACAGAATTTTATAATTTACAACAAAACTACGATCTCTTTTTTTTTCAAGAAAAAAGATGAACTTTTAACGGCAAGAATTACAACGTCTGCTGGAGGGGAAAAAAAACCATATCCCTTGCTCAGAATCCCAAAAAAAAAAAAAAAAAAAAATTACCCCCAATTTCGGATTCATCAACCGTTTCTCTTCCTTTGCTTTTTTGTCATCATTCTTCAATTTTCGCTTACTCGATTCTCACTTTTTGCTATAGATTTCTGATATCCTGATTAATCAATAAAAGATTTCAGATCTAGAAAGTAAAAATCACCTCTTTTTTTTTTTTTGGAGGAGAACCGTATTGGTGGTGGAATTGATGGGTTTTGAAGGTGGGAGGTGGAGCCGTAGAGATGGAAAGTGGGATGTGGAGCGATGGAGATGGGAAGTGGGATGTAGAGCGGTGGAGGAACGGCGGCGAACTGGCGAAGCTCAAATCGAAGGAGGAAAAAAAGAAAGTGAAGAGCCGGCGGCTAGGAAGAAAGAAAAGGCCACAAAGAGATTGAAAAATAAAACCAGTCAACCTTAGTTATATATCTAATGATATATATATATATATATTAAAAAAATAATTAAAAATTAAACTATTTAAGTTAATCGGAACTGCCCGATTAACCTTTCTGAAAATCGACCCGGAACCAAATTAGCTAATCGATTAATCGAATAGAGCCGAAAACCCCCAATTAAACCGAGTGCCCGCCCCAATTAAGCCGAATGTATTTCGGGTCGGGTGGTTGGTCGAGTTGAACCGATGAACTACCAGCCCTAATAGTCCCTAAACCCTAATTCTGTTACCTATATCCTTGGATGTCATGCAAGCACAATTTCTGACTGAACATAAAACACTATCCAAACCACCTGGAGAGAAGTTTCAAATTTCTCTTCAAGAATGATTTTTGTAGCATATATCAAAATTTGTAAGCCTAAATTGCAATCTAAAAAAGTCTAATTAGCCATATCATTCAATCATTTAAACATGCTAAGTCTCTGATTTTCTCAATGATATAGCCTACAGATGAACTTCAGAGTTCAGACATCCAGGCTCTAGTTTTGACAACTCAGAACCATTTAGCAATGAGCCATTCTCGTGATATTTAATTGAGTTGTAACTTCTAAATAGTTAACATTGTAGACCGTTCCACTACCAAGGTCACACAAGGCTCATCCTGTGGAAGTGGTATCAGTTTGGAAAACATATCCAGCCTCAGCGAAATGGGATTTGACCAGTGATAGAGCCCTAGAACGGTGCGAGATTTTGTTCTTTTCTTCCTTTGCCATCTCAGCATACCTGCAGCAACGTCATTTCATTGAATTGAAATCCAAATAAAGTGATCACAGTTCCGGAAGCATTGAAACAAGGCAAGTAAAAACTAGAGGAGAATGCATCTTACGTTTGATCATAGCCATCCGGCTGGAATATTGGATCCCATCCAAAATCTTTGGGTCCCCTTGCAGGAACAATCTTTCCCTGTCATCTCATTCAAACAATTGGAGAATTGATTAAGAAACTAGCTATAAGCAATTAGCATTCAGACAGGCAAGAAAGCTTCACATGGAATGAATTATGAGAACATTGTGGCTAAAGGCAAATCAAATGGAAAGGAGGGAGCTCAGAGTTTGAAGAGAAACAAGATAATGTTTCCAACAGATTGATAACTAAATTACTAGATTAGACTGTTTTCAGTTTCTTCATAAAATTACAGTTTCAAAAAACTGAAGAAAGTTGATGAATTGCTTATTGAACACCTTATACACTTGTTTGCGTACACAATACAATTCGAGATGTGGAACCCTCTATTCAAGTCAAATAAATAGTTTGTTCTAGTAACTGAAAGTTGCACAGGATAACAGGAAAAGCTAAAATGAAAAATTTGTGCAAAGCCAAGTCTCACACAACTATGAATGAATATGTGGACAAAGAACAGCTTAAGTAATCAAAACACTCTTGATAATCTCAAAAACGAAACAGCCGCTTTATTAGTTTCAAATTTGTGACACATCTGATCATTGTAGATCAAGCAGCATCTACACCAGTACCATGTAGTATTCATTATACGGAAAAGATGACATACCGGCGTTTTTCCAAGGAAAGTTATTGGCTCTACATTGGGCCCCATAGCAAGTGAAAATATGCAAAGAGCGAAGGCTGACTTATCATCATAAGCCATCAACAAGTTATTGAGTCCTAGAAACAAATAAACAAGTCATGAGCAAAGAAGAAACTTGAAAACTAAGAGATTACAAAACCAGAACCGAGATGTGAGAAGAGGAATCAGAAAGAAAGGAAATCGAATAAAAGAATATACCATCATGTCCGGTCTTCTGCAGAAACCACTTGCTGAAAGTTTTGAGTTCACATTGACAAGAAAAGCAAAACAAATGTATTAGCTGTAAGATTGCTTGAGAATAAATTTAGAAAGAAGTCGCAAGAAGTTATAGACTCGCAGGTAATAATTCCAAGAAAGTGTAAGGTGAACCAACTACCAACTTCTAGATTTTAAGAGTGCCAGCTACCAGGTTTCAGCTAGTGTGCCTGAATTTTAAGTGCGTGCATAGGGGCAAGGGGGACTGGAGGGGTCAAATAGGCACTGTATTCCACTATCTGAAATTGATTGGAATCTAGAATGGATGGGGATACCAAACCAAAAGGAACTTTTGAATTAAAGAAGCTTGAAGTCATTCTGCATAATAACTAAGCAGAAATGATAAGACTCTCTGCTAATCTATATAAACTACTTCGTATGTCCTGAACTGGTACTGCTTTCAGTAAAATAAAAGCCAACACTCTCTGAAGATATAAGATTCCAAATAATCAGATAGTCCCCCAACTACATCATCAAGAACAACCTACACACTGAAATGATGCAAGTCACTGGATAAAAGGGGATGTGGTGTTTGTTGTAGTGGGTAAGGATGCTCAAGCAATGAAAGTGACAACGTGCATGAGAGGCTCATGAATCAAGTAGTTCAGGTGAACAAAAACGCCAAGGTGACACACAGTCCAGCTTAATTGCATCAAAATTACAAGCCACCCCAGTCTCAAATGTTACAGTTTAGTCTGTTGAACCTTAAAAATGCTGATTTATGAGACAAGTAATCCATAAGATTTTTATGAAGTAAGAGTTTCAGTAAAGCAGAACAAAATTGGACCTGAGAAGATGAAGAATGTGAAGCAAAAGACTTACATATACGGCCCTGCAAAAAACAAAAGAAAACAAAACAATAGCATTTAATCAGAGATTGTTATATCAACAACTATACTTTCTCAAAAATACAGATCAAGAGAACAGGATTCACCTGGGAGACCATTTAGAGCATTGAAACAAAGGCAAGTGTCTTCAACCAGCACAGGTCCATTCACCTTCTCATTCAAGTCAGAATCAAATCAATCAATTCAGAAACAAATATCCATAAAAGCCCAACAAAACGAAACAAACAGAAAACTAATCAGCCAACCAAGAAATAAATTTTTACAACTATAGCTTATCAATAACAGTACAGAGCTCGATCAAAACTTTCACTCCCATTCATCATCAAGCAAGAATGATGCAAACAAAGGAAAATACATAAATGCATCGAGAGTAATACCTCTTTCGCTGCAAGTCTTGCTTTCTCCTTTGAGATGTCTTCAGGCTCTCCTTGTAGCTCTGGCACTGCAAATTCCCACCAAAAAGAAATTGCAAACAAAAACCCATCAAGAATTTGGATGAATATCGCTCTGCAAATAAAATAATTTGGAAAAATGAAAGGATTAAGCGTACAGTCGAGTTTGAGGGATTGAAAAGGGATTGAATTTCCAAGTATAGCGCGAACTTCCTCCAATTTCTTAGCGTTTCCAGTCACGAAAGTCACCGGCCGGGAGAGCACCAACCCTTTCATTGCTGCCGTCGCCGATGACATTCTCTCCGGTAATCAATTGTTCGTGTTTAGAGTTACAGTCAGTTTGAAGCGCAATTTGCAGGAGGTTTAAAGGGTTTATTGAGCTTGTGTTTCGGACTGATTTTGTGTTTTAATTCAATTTTGGCTTTAATTTTCGAAATAAGTGTACCTTTCATCCTCCACATTATATTATATTTAAAAGAAGACTGCTTTAATTTTTGGATTTATTATATGCAAGAAATTGGTGTCAAAGGTTGTCTTAGAAACCAAAAAAAAAAAAAAAAGAATAAAAAGGTTGTCTAAAACAGCTATTTTTTAGTTCTTCATATAGTTATCCCGTCCAATGCTTTCCGCTTTATAATAGGAAAAAAAATAGATTCTATTTTGCAACAAAAGGTTTTTTTTTTAAAAAAAAAAAATAAAGTGTGGAAGTTTCAACTTTGTTACCATAGCCATAGTTGATAATCTAGTTTTGATTGGTCAAGCAATTTTTTCTTAATACAATAACTTTATAATAGGTTAAGTATAATGAATAACTATCAGGTGGAGAAAGAAAATGATGATTTGAATTGGAAGGAAAATACAGGAAAAGAATTAGAAAGTTTGGTTGTTGATATATTATTCTTGATACTATTTCAAGGACTACACAACGTATAGTCATCATGTAATGGCAACATTGTTATATAAACGTATATTAAAATAGACATAAATATCTAATCCTATTCGGGTATTTTACCTTCTTTAACGGATATTCACATTTTTTATATATATATTTTGTCATAATTATAGATAGTCACAACATATTTTTCCTTTATTGATTATTTTTGTAAGAAAGAAACAATTTTCAAAAATTTCAATTCACAAATGTAAAATGTGGTGAAAGAAAATAGATATCGAACAGTCTAGGCAAAAAATTGTCTTTGCACGATTTATGGACTTAACTTTGTGTATTTCCACAAGCTTGCATGCATTTCTTAATGGATAGTGATGATGACCAATTTGTGGGATTACTATTCAATAATAAACATCTGCCATTCCTTACCTGTTTATCTATTTCTTCCTTAAGTTCTCTTAATCTTCAAGAGTTTTCCCTGACTTAAGCTTTTTGCCAATTTCAGCAAGAATGAAGATTTCTTTTTTATTTTTTTGTGTGTTTAGTCAAAAAAAAAAAAAAGAAAAGATTTTTGTGTGTTGGATATTCACATATGATAACGGGCTCAAAGATCAAAGTATCAATAGGCAATCTGTGTTATATTAAGCCCAATGGACACTTAACTGAATTCACTTCTAAAATGGACAAGGTCCAATTGCTGTTGTAGATTTAATCATTTAACAAGAAGAAATTTTGTACTTTTAGTATAGATCGCTTTAAGTTTATACTAAGTTTATCGTGGTAATAGAAGACTTTGGAGGGTGTTGACTATTATCGACAATGGCGATTAGTGTCTTTATTCATTTGAGATTATTTCGAATATAACATATCTTACCAAAAAATTTAAGGTTATTCTAACAATCTTATTGTGTCGATGTAAAAATGAAAAAGTAATCAGGATATGTTATTTTAGCCGTTTAGAGCACACGTTTTTTTGGCATAGGAACTTCTATAATATTTTGTGTGACACTTCTTTTGATCCGGGCTAAATAATTGACACATGTTTAAATAACTAATTATTAATACCCTAACCAAACGATAAGTGTATCGTGTTTTGTAAGTTCTTAGTGTAATAAAAAAAAAGTGTCATAGAAGATCGTTTTGACAAAAAAGGGAAAAAAAGGGGGGAAAGTAGAAAAAAAAGTTTTTTTACTAGTGTTTTTTTATATATATACAAAAAAGGGGGAAAAAAAAAGTTGAAAGAGATCATCATGGAAGGAAGACTTGGGAAAGTTGGGTGCGGGTTGTGGCAGAATATAAACGTGGATAGATTCCACTTCCCGGCCGGGGATATTCCCGAGGTCTTCACCCCCCTAAATTTAGGGCCTATGTGCTGCGCCGTTTGCCTGCCTATCTTCTTTTATTTTCTTTTCCATTTTTCTCTTTATTTCTTTTTCTCAAAAAGAAAATTGCACAAGAAGGTCTCTAAAGTCTAAACATACACATAATTGGGTTAGATTAAACTATTCGTCCGACTATCAAAGTAACTGCTATAGAAGGAAATGCATTTTAAATTCTAATTACTTGAACCAGGTAGTCCTTTGTTTAGGTACTCCAAATCCTTCCCTCCCAAAAGAAGTCACATCCCCTGTTTAGTTGGACTTGGATCAGAGGAAAAAAACTTTCCTTTTCCAATTCTTCTTAGGAAAACTAGAGTATTCCTTGTCATGGTTTGCTCTAAAAAATTATTCCATACACAAAATGTATCTCTTTTTTAATGCAGCAACACACTCATTGTATAGAAAAATATCATGACCCCCCTAATTTTGTGGTAACTTTTCCGATAAAATTACTATCTTACCATATTCTTGTGTCTGGCTACACAATCCTACGTAGTATAGCAGCTGTATGGAAGATTTTCTCGTTTGTTCTACGTTAAATTTTTCATGGTAGAAAATCTCTGTCTCAAAAAAAAAAGAAAAAAAGAAATTCATATTAAATTTTAAAGTTTATATTATTTTTTAGCATAATGTGAATCATTTAGTTTTATAGATAAGAGTATTTTTTTTTTGTCAAATAAGATTTTTAGATCGGATTGATGGAGTTTTTTTTTCCTTTTTTTTGGAACAGATGAAGTATTTTTATTTTTTTTTTAATTTCAAAACTTAAAGTTGATCATCATATTATGTTGTGAAAACTTTTATTAGTGGTAGCAGTACAGGATGGTCAGCAAGTAGTAGGCCAAAATTTGGATCCCATTCGTGTACTCACGTGTTATGGCCTCAAAATCTGGGATGTGTTCTTCGAGTACCATATTAAAAAATTGTAAAGCTACCAATCCACTTTAATTTCCCAACTTACCTCAAAATATACCATAATTATATGTCCTTTATTTAGTTTTTTTTTGGTTTCTTTATACTAATCATTTCAGAATGTTGTTTGATTTTTTTTTTTTCCCGCAACCCTTTTAGATTAGCCACATCATCCTTTGACTAAGTGACATAATAATCTAGGATATAACATTTGTTTGGTTTCTTCGAACAATCTTAGGATCATTGTCAACACTCAAAACGAGCGGACCTGTCATTTTGGATGGTCTAATATCGTTCAAATTGATATAGTTTTTTCAACTAGAATAATTTTCCTGTTAAATAAAATTGAATTATATATTATTCAATTCTGTATCACATTAGTTTTCTGTGTGTGTAATACACTGTGTTTTTTTTTTTTACAAATTTCCTCATGTCTCCTAATGAAATTTATTCAATGTGTTTACAATGGATTAAAGTTACAGCAAACAACTCAATTTATTTCTTTACTTATTTTCTTTTTTACATTTCAAGTGATTTATCTGAAACTGAACATTTAAAAATGTGCAAGAAGTTACCCCCTAAAATAATTATATGGAATCGGGTTTCTACTTAAAACCGCATTTAACTCTCACTAGAGAAGTAACACAATAGTTTAAAAGATAATCAAGTTTATTATAATTTAACTTCTTTACAATTCATTGGCTTTAAGATTTTTTAATACAGTACGTAATAGTATTTTGGTAGTTCATTAATTTGATTAAGAAACTATACATACTTATTTCCTTCTAAGACGATATTCAGTTAAGATTATTTTGACAGATATAATATTTAGTTTTTTTTTTTTAAATATAAATTGCATATCTCGTTATTGAATCCATTTTATTAGATACCACGAACTAAGGGCTTGTCACTAAATTAATATCAAGTTTAGTTATTTGTAATTTTGAATGCATAAATAAGCGACGTTATGATTGATAAACAAAACTTGAAATAGAGAATCTTATTTAATTTTTACTCCCACCATCTTGCATTTAGCCCTCATGACCACCACAACAACAGGATATGTCTTTTATATTAAATTAAATGCTCCTTCTATTTCAAAAATAATTGTTTAGTTAAGATTTTCATTTTTAATTTTTTTTATGTATTAAAATAACCGTCCAATTTAATTTTTATTTGTAATATAAATGTACTATTATATTTATTTGGAAAAGAGCGAGTATAAGTTATACTGAAATTAAAAATGTAAATAGATAGAGGGAAGATTAAAATACTCAAGGAATTAAGTACGGCTGAGATTCTCCATTAAAGTCGTACTTAATCTAAGCTGGTGAAAATACAGTAAGTAATTAACAAAGTCTTCATCAGTTAAAATATGGTACTACTATCCAATATGGGTTTCCTAACGCATTAACACGAAAATCAAAACTACATCGGATCTAATGGCCATTGCTAATTTCAATGGATGCTCCGTTCCGTTTGTCAGCTTAAAAAATGGGTTAAAACCTTAAAAAATAAAAAGAGTGAACCAGTGTATCACAAGTAGCAACTAATATAACATGCAGTAAGTGCACACTGCAGCCCAATACAAATTTTGAATTTTATTATTTTCTAAACATTCATTTAGGTTGGTTGGTTGGAAAGGAAAATTGGATGGTGCAGTTGAAATACGTTAACAGTGGAGAAGTTGTGTAGTTTTTCTTTTCTTTTTCCGAAAAGGTCATATTGAAACAAATACTTCCTCCGTCCCATAATTATTGTCCAATTTAAATTTTCATTTTTAGTTCAAATTGTACTAAAAATGAAATCTTAAATTCGACAATAATTTTGGTACAGAGAGGATATAACTTTTACCTGATGTTAGAGACGTAACTTATTCAGAAAATGTAATATGTAAAATGTAACATTGTAAAATGTAATATGATTTGAAACATTGGATTGACCAGAGAATAAAAAACCTTGTGCTGAACTGTGATCATAACGGTGGTGGGTTGAAAGAAAAATGGTGTTTGAGTTTGACTGGAAACTGGAAAGCACATTGGCGTATTTATCTGTCGATTAATATCTTGTGCATGTTTTGTCCTTTCGTAGGTTCCATTTTTGGTTAACTTTCGCACTGAAATTGAAAAAGCAACAATTTGTGGTCAGCCTTGTAATGGTAAATATTTGCACTAATAGCTAGTCATGTCACTCTTCCAACTCTGAAATGATTCCCTAACTGTTGTAAAAACTTTTGTCATTGCAGTCAATTTATACCTGAAAGCAGCTGAATACAGAAAATGTATGAAATTATTCTTTAGGTAAAGACTTGTAAGAAGTGGTTGATTGTATAACCACGATATCAAACTGATACTTATAATAAAGTCAGTATGTTGAAAAGAAGTTAGAAACTGTAAATGGATGCCTCTATGATACAAGTAAATTAAATAACTTCTTGACAGTCTTTGTGACTTTGTGAACTTGATGAAAGGGAATGAGGCGGTGTTAGTGATGAATCGACGATTTGTTGGTTTTATTCGAGAATTGATTGATCGGGAATGGAGCGTCGAGCTGCGTTTTGCGACGGATTACATGGTTTCCTTTGTTGCTTCTTGTTCTGGTGGTATGCAACGGCTAGATGAATCTCCGTCAGAATTGAAATTATGAGTAGAACATGATATAATAGGTGTTTCATACCCACGAAATGTGTTAATTTTTTGATTTAAACTTTTGCTTCCTTCCTTGTACAAAAAAAAAAAAAAAACCCTCTTGTCTAAAGGTCTAGATAGCTTTTCTCTAAATTTCTTTTAGTTATAAATCTAATTTTACGTATAAAAATTCATACAAAAATCTTAAAACTATACATAGTTTGTAAATTGGAGCTGGAATTAAAACTGTTTTGGGCAAATTAATTATCGAAATTTATGAACACTATCAGTAAACGTTACAATAATTGTAACTGTAAAAATATAATGTCTATTAAAATTCTCTATATCGCTTCTTACTTAATCGTCTCACACCACAAGCGTATCGATTTATTATCAAATTTAGAATTATTCATCTATTCATTTTTTGTTTGTAACTATAAGAGGAGAGGATCTTTATTTTCTTTTATCGTCTTGTGTTGGTTTGTGCCACAAACATTAAAAAATTAAATTAAATTAATAGCTGGTGTATCCAATTATATATAATTGATGCCATATTTAAGATAACTGATTAGATAAATAGATACGCTTTCTCCAGAAAGCTCCTTAACAAAAATGGATCCGTTATAGTCTCAAATTTGGAAAGTTACCTATTGTGAAAGTGCAAGGCAGTTATATTTAAGCGGTTGCACTTACAATGAAACAAACCCAATTTCCCAGTTGTCACGGTGAGATTTTTCGGATACACTGATACACAAGTATTTCGGGCCAAATTACATAGATCCTGATAATATAGCACTAACTTTTAAGGATTAATTTTTTTTTTTTAAGAATGCACCAATTATATGTAAATTCATAGAGTGAAATAGTTCAGAAGCCGGTAAGTGCCGTGAAAAAAAAAACTGATACTCTTTAAAAATGTAAGTAATGATGTTCCAAAATTGTGTGGAACTAGTTTTCGAGATAAATTTGTTAGAATCGACTAAAAATTAATTTGTGTGTGATACGTGTTAAACGGTATAACGACACTACCGAGTTAGAGACATTGGAATAAGATTACAAATCTACACAGTAACTTTCATAAATGGTTGCAAACACGGAGGAAGACATCATCATATCAGAGCTAACCAGCTCTATAAATACTTCACTCAAGATGAACAGAAAACGAGTCCAATTAAATGCCAATGGCCTAGAAAAATAACAAAATCCCACCTAAAACTAGAAACAAAACAACAAAATTAAATGTAACTCAAAGCTCTTGGTGGACAGCTGTTGCATTCTTTGCTCGTGCGCGTGACAGAAACCATGCAAAAAAATTTCAGTTTTTTTTTCCACTCGTCATCAGTTGAGTTCACCACCACCATCATTTTTGTTGCTTATTTTTAGTATTTCTAATCGTTAATTTTCAATTTACAGTAAAACCCAACTGGAGAAATTAGTGAGAAAGCGGTTAAAATAGTAGGAATTGTGGTGTGGGATCCTAGAAGGGGTTTAAAAATCAACAAAGATGGCTTTGAAGGTGGTGGTGTGGCTTCTGCAAAAAACTTGCTAATTTCTAGGTATTCCTTGCTTCTTCATTTCTTTATTCTGGGTTTTTTTAATCTTTAATAAATTTGGTATCTTTACAATCCTTTTTTCTTTATTCAATCAACCCCTTGGGCTCTGTGAAAAACAAAAAAAAATAAAATTTAATCTTTGTTCTTGTGGGGTGGAGAATTAGGTAAGTGTGGGGAGGTGGGAGTGTTTTTATTTGGAGTCTGAATGAAGCAAAAAACTGTGTTTTTTTTGTGTAGTGTGTGAGTGTGTGTTTTTTCTTCACAGAGATTGAGGAGGAGGAGGGAGGAAGAAAAAACATCGAAACCTAAATGGTGCAAAACCGAGAAGGGAAGTTTGGAAATTGAGGCAATGTCGATGCCCAGCTCGAGGCAAAACCTTCTTCACCTTAACCAAAACCCAAAATTCCATTTCCCATCATTGTTAAACACTCTGTTTCCGCCACCCCTTTTCTTCTCCTTCACCATTCTTTCAGCCCTTTTCATCAATTTCTTCTCGGTTACTGCCTCAGGTAGTAATCTTGAAGCTTTTACTCTGTATTCATGGCTGCATGGCTCTGCTCCACCTCCTCAGGCTTTTTCAAGTTGGAGCTTGAATGACCAGAACCCATGCAAATGGGCTTTTATAACATGTAATTCCCAAGGTTTTGTTTCTGAGATTACTATTCAATCCATCCCTTTGCAGCATCCTTTGCCTTCAAATCTTTCCTCATTCAAATCCCTCCAAAAAGTTGTCATTTCTGATGCAAATATCACCGGGAGCATTCCGGCAGATATCGGTGACTGTGCTTCACTCACAGTCATTGACTTCAGTGATAATGGCCTAGTGGGAAGTATTCCAGTCAGTATTGGTAAGCTTCAAAATCTTGAAGATTTGGTCTTGAACTCGAATCAATTGACAGGGAGGATTCCAGCTGAGCTGAGCAATTGTCGAAGGTTGAAGAACCTTTTTCTCTATGATAACCTTCTTAGTGGCACCATTCCTCCTGAATTAGGCCTTCTTTCAAATCTTGAAGTTCTCAGGAGTGGAGGTAATAAGGATATCATTGGGAAAATCCCTGATGAGATTGGGAACTGTCGGAACTTGACCATTTTAGGCCTTGCAGATACAGGGCTTTCAGGTTCTCTGCCTCCTTCATTAGGTAAGCTTACCAAACTGAAGACATTGTCTATATATACTACCATGGTTTCTGGAGAAATCCCACCAGAATTAGGAAATTGTTCTGAGCTTGTCAATTTGTACTTGTATGAAAATAGTCTTTCTGGTTCAATCCCACCTGAGCTTGGCAAGCTAAAAAGTCTAGATAAACTGCTGTTGTGGCAAAATAATTTGGTTGGGGTTATTCCAGAGGATATTGGGAACTGTAGTAGATTGACAATGATTGATTTGTCTTTGAATTCATTGTCCGGGACTATACCTTGGTCTTTAGGGGGGCTTTCTGAACTTGAGGAATTCATGATTAGTAACAATAATGTATCTGGATCGATCCCTGCGGTTCTTTCCAACGCCTCAAATCTTATGCAGTTGCAGCTTGATACTAATCAGATCTCGGGTTTGATACCACCTGAGTTAGGGAAGTTGTCAAACCTTGTAGTATTCTTTGCTTGGCAAAATCAGCTTGAAGGGAGCATTCCAGCAAGTTTGGCTGGTTGTACTAGCTTGCAGGCTCTAGATTTGTCTCACAACTCACTTACTGGTAGTATACCCCCTGGTTTGTTTCAGCTGCAGAACCTTACAAAGCTTCTTTTGGTTTCTAATGACATTTCGGGGACTATACCTCCAGATATTGGCAAATGCAGTTCTTTAGTAAGGTTGAGGCTTGGAAATAATAGGATCACAGGTGAAATTCCTAAAGAGATTGGTGGCCTTAAGATCTTGAACTTTCTTGAACTCTCTGGTAATCGCCTTTCTGGACCAGTGCCTGATGAGATTGCAGGTTGCTCTGAGCTGCAGATGGTAGACCTAAGCAATAATACGCTTGAAGGTTCTCTGACCAATGGATTATCATCTCTGTCCGGGCTTCAAGTCTTGGATGTTTCAATGAATCAGTTTTCAGGTCCTATACCAGCAAGTTTGGGCCGCCTTTCTTCTTTGAACAAGTTAGTCCTGAGTCAGAATTCATTCTCTGGATCAATACCTCCTTCACTGGGCCTCTGTTCGAGTCTCCAGTTTCTGGATCTCAGTGGCAATAGTCTCTTTGGTTCCATTCCTTCTGAGTTGAGCAAACTCGAATCTCTTGAGATTTCTCTCAATCTCAGTTGTAATGGACTCACTGGGACAATTCCTGCTCAAATATCTGCACTCAGCAAGCTGTCAATTCTGGATCTGTCACACAATAAGCTTGAGGGAAGCTTAGCTCCACTTGGCAGGATGGACAATCTTGTCTCCCTCAATGTGTCGTTCAATAACTTTTCAGGTTATCTTCCTGATAACAAGCTGTTTCGGCAATTATCAGTGTCAGATCTAGAAGGGAATCAAGGTTTGTGCTCAGTTGGACGAGATATGTGCTTTAGGGACAACATTGAAGCATCTAAAAGTGATGGTGCAAGAAGGTCGAGGAGAATCAAAATCGCAATTGCAATGCTTGTAATTCTGACAGTTGCAATGGTGGTCATGGGAACACTGGCAGTTCTTCGAGCACGGAGGGTTTTAAAAGGTGATGGTGATTCAGAATTGGGAGAGTCGTGGCCCTGGCAGTTTATTCCCTTTCAGAAGATAAATTTTACTATTGATCAAGTATTGAAATGCCTTGTTGAGTCAAATGTGATTGGAAAGGGTTGTTCTGGAGTTGTGTACAAGGCCGATATGGAAAATGGAGAGATCATTGCAGTGAAGAAGCTGTGGCCATCAACATTGGGTTCTACCAATGGATGCGATGAAGAAAAATGTGCAGTTCGTGATTCCTTCTCAGCAGAAATAAAAACGTTGGGCACCATCAGGCATAAGAACATTGTAAGGTTCTTGGGCTATTATTGGAATCGCAACACGAGATTGCTTATGTATGACTACATGCCTAATGGGAGCTTAGGCAGCCTTCTTCACGAGAGGCGTGGCAGTTCTCTGGAGTGGGATTTGAGATATCAAATTCTTTTGGGAGCTGCACAGGGGTTGGCTTATTTACACCATGATTGTGTCCCTCCAATTGTTCATAGAGACATTAAAGCCAATAACATCCTGATTGGTCTTGAATTTGAGCCATACATTGCTGATTTTGGCCTGGCCAAGCTTGTTGAAGATGGCGATTTTGCTAGATCATCCAATACAGTTGCAGGCTCCTATGGCTATATTGCTCCTGGTAAAGTTTTCCTCTTTCAAGTTCTTCCTTTACTTAGTAGTATTTCAATTTGTTGTTCATTTCCTATCCGGGTTGAATTATACTCGGTTCTAATTATATACAAATGTTTATATGTAGAATACGGTTACATGATGAAGATCACAGAGAAAACTGATGTGTATAGCTACGGCGTGGTGATGTTGGAAGTCCTTACAGGGAAACAACCAATTGATCCAACAATCCCTGATGGCGTGCACGTGGTAGATTGGGTACGACAGAAAAGAGACAGTTTGGAAATCATTGATCCAAGCTTGTTATCCAGGCCTGAATCAGAGGTCGACGAAATGATACAAACATTAGGGATAGCCCTATTATGTGTAAACTCAAGCCCTGACGAGCGGCCAACAATGAAAGATGTGGCTGCAATGCTCAAGGAAATCAAGCACGAAAGAGAAGACTACTCAAAAGTCGACGACCTACTCAAAGGCTCTCCGACAGCATCGCCAGTGAATAAGAAATCGAGATCAAATAGTTGTGTTCCAGCAGCAACATCTTCATCTGCACAACAGGCAATCCATAAACTGTTCCCTAGAAGCAATAACACCAGTTTCTCAGCGTCCTCATTGCTTTATTCATCATCATCATCAAATGGCAAACTTGGATTCAAATGAACCATATTGTTAAGTTAGATGGCTGTTGAAGTTTGTCTTGGATTTTTTTTTCTTTTTTATAATTGTTAGTTTGATGTAATTAAAGAAGCAAGAAATAGCTACCATAATTATCATTATAAAAAATGTAAGAGTTGCAGAGGTGATGAAATATTGAAATGAAAACAATCAATATTGAAAGCCAACTTTTTGGTATTTTGGCTTTTTGAATGCTTTTGATTGAGTAGGTACAAGATTGCAAAAGGTCAACTTATCTGTCATCATTTCCCTGGTTTTAAGGTTTCATTACAGCATAGATACAAATGTTAGTGGGAAATCCTAAACCCAAAAACATGCTCATGAAATTCCGGGACTTCAGATTGGTCTGAGAGAAAAGGAAAAGACTAATTTGACTTTTTTAAAAGTTGCCTAAGGGAGAAACACAACTAGTCACATATGGACATGTTTGGGTTGGGATTAGTCTAAGGGCAATTTATCCGGTATACACGAGAGCATCATGTTTCCGCTCTTATTTTTTGTATTATTAGTCTTTATTACACTTTTTTCAGTTTTCTAAATAACATCCTATAATTTGCAGATTTAATCCTTGTGACTTTTTTTCTCTTTCCTTTAAAATAATCTCTAATTTCTAAATGACCATATTTCATGATCCGTAAAGAATTAGAGAACATGTTATACATGAAATTTATAGTACTAGTCGAGATCTATCCAACAAGATTCATATAGAATATTTTTTTCGAGCTTAAAAATGATTAAATTCTGATGGGCAGAAATAAGGTGGATATCCAATTTAAGAAGATGGATGACAAATTTATTTTACGTTCATATTGTTGTGTTCTTTATATCTCTTGATCTGTGAATAATTAGAAAATGACTTATACATCAAATATATAGTATTCGACGAGATCTATCCGATAAGATCAATATCGAATATTAATTTCGAAAAATAAAAATAAAAATACTCCAAGCAGAAATAAATATTTGTGTTGGATAACCAGTACAAATACGTTGGACAACTATTTTTTCAGAAAAAAGGGAAAAAATGAGTGGATAACCATTACAAATTACCTGGATAACCAGTGAAAATAATTGGATAAACAGTACAAACTGGTTGAATAATCAATACAAAATAATTGGACAATCATTTTCATAAAAGAGCAAGAGAAAAAAAGTTGGATAATCATCAGTAAGAAGTCGGATAATCAGTATGAATACATTACAAACAATTTGGATAACCAGTGGAAATAATTGGATAAGTAGTGCAAGCTGGTTGGATAATCAGTACAAAATAATTGGACAATCATTTTCATAAAAAAAAAGTAAGGAAAAAAAAGTTGGATAACCATCAGCAAAAACTTAGACACAAAACAGTTGAATAGTCAGTACAAAAAATAGGACAAAGGTTTTCGCAAAGAGTAGAGAAAAAAAATGATTGGATAATCTATACCGAGCAGTTGGATAATCAATATGAACGCGTTGGACAATCATCTTTTATTTTAAAAAAATATAATAATAAAAAAAACTAGGTTAGATAAGTAGTACTAATTAATTAGATAATCAGTATTAACACATTGGGCAATGATTTTTTTTTTTTTAAAAAAAAGATTGGATAACCAGTACAAACGAAATGGATAATCAGTATAAACACAATGGATAACCATTTTAAGAAAAAACTAGATTGGATAAACAGTACTAATTAGTTGAATAACACGTATAAACATATCGGACAAGTATTTTTCATAAAAATAAAAAAAAATCTGGAGAAACAATAACATGGGATTGGATAATCAGTACGAACACATTAATTGGACAAGCAATTTCTCAAAAGAAAAAAAAAAGATTGGACAAGTAACGGAAACTTATTTGGACAAGAAGTAAGAATAATTAGATAACCAATACAAAACAATTGGATAATCACTACGAACACATTGAATAACCGTGTTTCAAAGGAAAAAAGAATGATTGGATAAGCAGCATAAACATAATGGATAACCAGTGTTAGCGTAGTGGACAATGATTTTTTCCAAATAAAAAAAAAATAATTGGATAACCGGTACAAACAATTTGGATAGCCATATAAATCCGTTGGATAACCAATACACATGAGTTGGATAGGCATACAAACTAAATGGATATCCAGTACAAATAAATCGGATAAATATCCAGAACAAACAAGTTAGATATGCATACAAACCCGTCGGATTACAATTACAAAACAAGTTAAATAGTCATACAAACCAAATGGATTGATATCCAGTACAAACAAGTTATATAAATATCCAGTACAAACCAAATGGATATCCAATACAAACAGGTGAGATATCTATTACAAACAAGTTGGATAGACATACAAACCAAATGGATAAGTAGTACAAACAAAATGGATAAATAGTTTAAACTGGTTGGATAATCGGTATGAATAAAATGGATAACTAATTTAAAATAAGTTGGTTATCCATCTTGTAAAACAGGATATTCACCTTTATTCTGCCCATCAGAATTTAATTATTTTTAAGCCCCCAAAAAATATTTGATATGAATCTTGTTGGATAGATCTCGACGAATACAATAAAATTCATGGATAACACGTTTTATAATTTTTCACGGATTGAGAGATATGCTCGTTTGAAGATTAGAGATGTTTTTTTAGAAGAGAGAGAAAAAAGTAACAAAGACTAAATTTGCAAAATATAAGAAGAGTTGAGAAAAAAGTGTAATAAGAACTATATGTGCAAAAAATAAGAAGGGACGTACATGCTTCCGGATATACTGAATACAGTCTCAGTCTAAGTATAATATTGGGGAATTTCTTTGAGTATATTATTACATTTTTTTAAATATGTATGAATTTATAAAGTGCAATAAATTGAATTTTGTTTGTCCATAAAAATATCATCATTCCTAAGTGTTAGTGTGTTACCGTCAACAATTATTAAGAATTTAAGCAGCTAGCCTGGAAAAGATTACACTAGTTAAGAGGGACGATGGAATCAGATTTTTTTTTTCTTATATGCTATACAAAATCAAAAAAATTAAAAAGGGAGAATGGGCCTTTTCATCCCAGAGTTTGAGCCACACCATCTAAAACATCCCGAAGTTTAAAAGCATGTCATTTTCATCCCAAACTTTTCAAAAATATGTAATATTAGGACATTTATTAATTTTTTCAAGTTATTAACGGCGATATTTCATGCAGTTTCTTTTCTCCCATTTTTTTTTAGTAAAAAAAATTTCATACTTGCGTTTGGTAAATTTGGTCCATGCCAAGCAAAAAAGTTGCATGCCCCTGCATCAATTATAATACCAATTTTTATAATGATACTACATATTTAAAAAAATAAATGAAATAGGGCTTACTTTCTAATTAGGACATACACAAAACCTCTCATGATTGTTATCAATCTAGAAGGTGAATCTTGGATTTTTTTTTTTCTTTTTCTAAACAAGGGAAGAATGGATGATGTGAAAACCAAGTTAAGTTTAGCTATTTTTTTATAAGGTGGGAGTTAGTGTATCGTGTTAAATGATTAAAAGAATCGGGAGAGGAAAAACAGAATAAAGTACCACCACTAATTAATTAAGCGGAGTTAAAAATTTAACGAATATCCTAATATAACATGTTTTTAAAAAGTTTGAGATGTAAATGGCATGTTCTTAAACTTTGGGATATTTTGGATGGTGTGGTCCAAACTTTGGGATGAAAAGACCCATTTTCCCAAATTGAAAATTAAAAAGTTTCACCATTCTCCATGAATGAATATGTTGGGTTTTGGGCTCATCTTTAATAAATTATAATTTCTGCCTTCTTTAATTTGGACAGGTCTTTCGTAGTTAAACATAATCACGTGATTAGAGGCACTCTTTATTCCATCATCTGTGAACATTTCACATTTAGTCCAATATGACGAACTCATTTTCTTGATGTATCAAGTCCAATAGAATTCCAACCGAATGCTCAAATTTAGTTCAACATCGACGGATTAATTCAATAATGTAATGTACATGTATTTAGACGTATGAACCAAGTGGCCAGTCCAACCTAAGAGCGATGAGGTTGATTTGAAAAAACTCTTACAATAAAATTTACGAGCTTTAGAAGGAAAAAAAAAATTTACCGAATATTATAACACTTTGGATTAAATATAATGGATGTTTTTCTAATTGAGTTAATTTTTTCAACTTATTAGTTTAGTCGGACGAGTTTTGCCTCACAGTTCATATTGATATTTGATACAGATTAATCGGAACAATAATTTTAAACACAAAATATACAATGTACCGAAGAGTTGATAACATAGTACTACTTTGAAAAGAATTCAACAGACGTCTTAGACAAGACGATGATGATGAGGTCTGTGACCTGCTGCACCTGCATGGCTGCATATGTGGGTTGTGTGATTGTGCTTTGTAATGTACTATTACAAGTTTACAACACATTTGCAGCTTTTTTTTTTTTTTTTTAACATTTTTCATTTTCTTTGTTCCTGTGATCTTTCCTTATTTGGAAATCAAGATTCAAGCATGAAAGACCTACGTAAATATTTTTGTACCTTAAAAAGAAAAGTTCAAAAAAGAGAGCTACGTTAATACTAAGGTTTATATATATCGACCCTGCATCTGCATGTGGCTATATCATTAGGCTTCTTCCTTCTTTCTTTCTTTTTTTTTTTTGTTTTCATTTTTTTATTTAATCAAAAGCTATAAAGGTTAAAATGATGATAATGAAAATGTACATACGCCAAATAGAGCTCTCTACAAATGTATTAACTTATAGTAATAAGAAACTCAGCCAATATATGTTAACCCCTTTTGTCGAGAATTATAGATAGCATGCTATACGGAAAAAAAAAAAAAAAAACTAGATACTAAGAAAATGATACTCTTTCTGTTCCATAATTATTGTCCAATTTGATATTTCACTTCTAGTACAATTTGAACTAGAAATAGAAATCCAAACTGGACAATAATTATGGGACGGAGGGAGTATTTATTTTCTAAAATCTAAACCTTAGCTTCTTGCATAAGATCATACATGACATCAAATTGTACTGTTTTTTTATTTCCCTTATATCCAGCAAGATGGAAGAGTAAAGATCATTGTAAATTATCAATTATTTATGATTTACAGTTTATGTGGGACAGAAAGATTATAAACTACTTTGGTTACCTGTTGCGAACTGCTAATAGATCCGATTAGCAAATCAACAAGTAACTTAACTTAGGAAAAAGCATTTAAATTTCACAAATGACTATTAATTCCAGCTTAATTTTTGGAGAAATAATTTGGTAAATGAAGTCAATCGTCTAACTGTTCTATTTATCTTTTCCTTTTACAACTTCCTTCACCTTTTGCCATGCACTTTTTCCTTCCTTCTCTTCATCTTCACCATCTTCTGATGCCTTTTCAAGCGCTTTTTTAGCCATCTCAGTAACAACCTTCAAAAAAAAAAAATCAATAAATAAAATCTTTAATTATCTTTTTCTTTAAAAATAAATCACTTGTTAATTGATTGCCTCAAATAAGAAAAACACTATAATATGGCGGGTCCAAGCAGCTAGTGAAACAAAGGTTTCTCTTCATGTACTTTCTCCGGTCTTTATTATAAGACATTTTTATTTGTCTTAAATTTCACCTAAAATGTATTTTTAATTGAAATAAAAACCTTAGAACTATTTCGTAATAATTAGTATAACGTAACGAAAGTAAAAATATAATTTTAAGGTTTTTTTTTCAATTAAAACACATCCTGAATGATAACTAGGACAAAATCAAAATGTCTTACAATAAGGATCGGAGAGAGTATCATTTATATCCTAATTAATTTGATCATTAACTGTACCGTTTCGTTGACGAGATTTACAAAATTCTTAAATTAATATAACAAGGCAACTGATAAATTAAAAAGAAAAACTAAATGGATTGATCGGATGCGAGTAATTAAAAGGAGAAAATGAAAGATTGTTTATGTACCGTTCCAGCGTTAGTAGTGATAGTTTCTTTAACAAATTGACCGGTTTGCCTTGCTTCTTTAATCCCTTCTGTAACTGCTACTGCTGCTTCCTTCACCTTTTCGCACGTCTCTTTATCCAAATATTGCTGTTCATTTCCGAAAAAAAAAAAAATATATATATATATATATAGCAATTACTTATTTCATATAACTCTTATCATCATTGGATTTTTATTCATAATGCCGTCTCATGATAATAATCTTATTCTCAAAATCGATACCATCATTTTAAGACGAACAAGATACTGCGTTAGTACGATATTGTGTTCCAAAATTTTTTTTTTTTTTTTTAAAAAAACATGTGAAAGATGCTAGGTGAAGTGAACTTACTTTTTCACAAGGCCTTGTGGAAGTGACAAAAGCTCTACAAATCCAAATACTTGCATGATCCTTAATCACTCCATAAGAAGAAATGCATTTTGGCATATGGGCTGTTAATTTCGCCATATAAGGTAGTGCCTTTAGACTTTATTACTCAACAATTGGAAGATCGTATGTGGTTTTTTTTTATGTAACCAAATAATGGGAAAAATAAAAAATTATTCTTGATCTTGATCTTTATTCAGTTACAAGAACAGGAGCAGATCGGGATGCGGAAAAAAGTTGGCCACTTGTTCTTTATGGAGTAGTTTTCGGTCACATATGATGAAATTTCGGGGAGTGGTATTTTCACAGTTTGGGATACGTTGAAAATTTCTCTGTTGGGAAGGTTTTTTTGATGGTTTTTTTTTTAAAAATAATTAAATAATAAATGTTCCATCCCAGCATACTTTTTTACATTTTCAATGTACTTTTTTATATTCTTAATATAAAAAATACCTAAAAACACACACTGAAAAAACGATCCAAACATAGCAATGTCTTTGGTAGACAAGTTTAGACAAGGTTATTAGCTTCTTTTTTTTTTGTTTTTATTTTTCCATCAAACATTTCTGAAAATTGAAAATACGTTGTCATCAAGAACTGAATAACATGAGAATATGAATAGATTTAAACTTATTCCAATTTTTGTATTGGTTAAACGGTTAGAGTATGTAATGACAAATGATAAAGATGATAAAATTATCTCATAATACATAAAAATATGAGAACAACAAAACAATAATCTCTTTCTTTTTGAGATTGTAAAATACTCTAATGAATTTTGGTAATTTTATTAGATAATTTTACCGCATGGCTTTCACCTCAGAATTTTCACTATTAATGGACGCCTTTGCCATCCTCTCCCAAGTTCCAAACCAGCTTCACATACTCAAAACAGTCGAACACACATAAGCCCATCATTTTTCTCTCCAAGAGCCTCAAATAGCACAATCAACACCAAATCCAGCGATTTCCAACTCATGTTACTAGTCCATTTCTTAGATCCAAGCCCACTGATAGACCCATCCAGTGATAGCCCACTGATCCAACCCATATACTCTATGCCCACTGATAGAACCACAAGCAGTGAGGGACCCAACCCTGCAACAGGGGCCATTTTGGAAGGTGGATCCAGCAAATTTTTTAAAAGTAAAAAAATGATTAAAATATGAAAGACTTTTAAGAAAGAAATGAAATGGCTGTTAAAACAATTAGGCTTTTAATATGCGGACTAGCTGATATTGGGTTGTATTCAAGGTATATACTCCTATACTTTTTGCAAATAAAAGTAAGCCAAACAATGTTTGGAGCTTTATAAATTAGAAAAGAATCCCGGCCCAAAAAGGGTTGAAGTCTTCTTTTTCATTGGTACTACGCATTTCTTCCTTAAATCTGTAGGGGCAGTGTTCAAAGGACGACAACTCGGAGATGCAACCGGAGGCCAGGGGTTTCTTCAGGAGGCCCCGAGGTCGACGGACCCTACAGGCCTTTAGCTAGGACCATCCCTGCCCACAAGCCCCAAACACAAGAACAGATGAAATGTGTGAATTTCAGAAAATGACTGAATGCTGAGAGCATCAACAATAATACATATAATTCAACACAACATTACACTGCCACGTCAGCATTCCACTACACTCTCATTTTACACACTTTTTCCTACAACAATATTACACTCACTACCTATATAATTTTGGACCCACAACTACCCCACTATTATTACCCCACACCTATCCTACTATTAATACTTTACTTTTTATAAAAAATAATTACATTTACTTGTAATAATAATTAATTTATTTTTCATAATTATTTTGTTTATATGACTTCTAAAGTACATTATAAAATTTATTATTTTTTTAAAAATCTAAAAACATAATTAAATAACAAAAGAATATAAAAAAGCTTAATAATCATTGAGTGAACAATATATTAATAAAGTACAATAATTAATTTAAAAAATAACAATATTGAAATTTCACTACCAGACGATGTTTATAGAGATAGTGAAAATCTAAAAATATCTAAAAATAATTTAACAACACTACATTTTATCAAAATCATTTCCAAAACGTTCGTAGATGTGCTCAACCAAATCTGATCATAGTTGATGGTGTTTTTCGCGGTCGCGTATTTCTGTATTCCTTTGAATGTATTGTTGTATATTAGGGATAACTCTTGATGATGCGAAAATTGAGTCCCCGCGTCATCAGTCCAGTTTGTTGCCCCATCTCCCTCGTCCTCAACTATCATATTGTGTAATATGATGCAAGTATACATTATATCTTTAAGCGATGCTCTGTCCCACAATCGAGATGGAATATGTAAAATATTCCAACGGATCAAGCACTCAAATGCTCGTTCAACATCTTTTCTTGCTTCTTGCACCTTTTGAAGAGTTTTCTCTTAGAATCCACCGGAGATGTAAAACTTTTCACAAATGTTGCCCACTCCGGATATATACCATCAGCTAAATAATAACCTCGGCTGTATTGAGTACCATTTACAGTAAATTGAATATCAGGAGCATACCCGTGTAACACATCGTTAAACAGAGGAGATTGGTTGAGCACGTTGATATCGTTGTTAGATCCTGCAATTCCAAAAAATGCATGCCATATCCATAAATCTGCAGATGCGACTGCGTCAAGCACTAAGGTGGGAGAACCTTGATAACCGGAAGTAAAACGACCTCTCCATCCAACCGGACAATTTTTCCATTTCCAATGCATGCAATTAATGCTACCAAGCATACCTGGAAAACCATGTCGTTCATCGTGCATTTGAAGTAAACGTTGAACGTCACTATCATTAGGTCTTCTCAAATATTGTGACTGAAAAATTTCAATCACGTTATGACAAAAGTATCGTAAACACTCTAGTGCAGTACTTCCACCCATCCTTAAATATTCGTCAACACAATCGGTTGGTAATCCGTATGCTAATTGACGAAGAGCTGCTGTAGATTTTTGAATGGGGGAAAATCCCATTTTACCCGATGCATCAGGCCTTTGTTGAAAGTATTCAGAGTGATTTTGGAGAGATTGTACAATGCGGAGAAATAATTCTTTCCTCATGCAGAATCTTGTACGGAAAGTAGCTGAAGAGTATACTGGCTTGTCAGAAAAATAATCATTAAATAATCTTTGTTCTCCAATTTCACGCTCTCGATCGATATGCCTTCGTCTTCGCGAAGAACTTGCACCTCTTCGTTGCTCAGTCAACTCATCCAACCTCCTTAAATCCTCTAGACCCGTGTTATCAAAGATTTGTTCCCGCATATAATCATTCATTTCATCATCAAAAATAGAGGGATCAAAATTGGGAAGAGAATTTTGAGACATGGTCGTGTGTGAAGAGTTGTTGCAAAATATATGCATACCAAAGAGTTGAAAAGGCTCGAACAATATTACTAGTCTCATTCCATATTTATAGAGTGTACTTGCAACAAGATCAAAAAAAGATTTGACTATATTATCCAATGTATGGATAAGATAATGAGAGAGATGTGACTACACTATGTTACGTATAGACAAAAAGAATGACGTGACTACACTATCAATGCATTTAATGGACAAGATAAAAAGAGAGATGTGACTACACTGTGATACGTATGGACAAATGAAAAAAGAATGACGTGACTACACTATCAATGTATTTAATGGACAAGATAAAAAGAGAGATGTGACTACACTGTGATACGTATGGACAAATGAAAAAAGAATGACGTGACTACACTATCAATGTATCAACATAATTAATTATAAGTTGTACAATAATAATTATACGATGCAGTGAACATAATAATACTTCATATTTAAAACACAATAATATGATGTAATAAAATTCAAATACAGTGACACAACTCTTACATTTTAGTTTAAATAAAACCAAAAACTCGCAATGAAAATAACTTAATTCAAAATAATAACCTAACATGACTATCTATAATTAGACAAGATTTTTTCAACCAAAAGTTCATGTCTTGCTCGTTGTTCTGGTGTCATATTCGAGGTGTCCTTCGTCAAAATTTCATATTCTTTGGTAACCGTATGACTCATGTACGCTTGATTGTAAAATTCTTGTTGCTCTAATTTTTTGGCTTCCAAATCCATCATTTTTTGTCGAAGTTCAACAAGCTCATCGTCATCATCCCGTGCCTTGCACTTTTCTTTTGACTTTCGCTTTCCGTTCTTGGCTGCTTTTTGGCTTATTGGGCGAACCTCCTCTTTGATCTCATTGATTTCAACATTTCGATCAGCATTTGATGATGAAGTGTATGATCCAGATTCGTTGATTCTTGATCTCTTTGATGACTCTTCAACGGTAGAAACAACTGCCCATTTTGGATCATCTTTCATAATTTTCCACACATGCTCATGCACAAAATGTTTTTTCTTAATTTGGTAATATACCTCATGAGCTATGGCCACCGGTAAGGTTTCACCACAGTTTGAATAGTTTGATTTACCTTTTTTTTTTTTTAATCATTGTGATAAATTCTTTGCAGGTTAGAGGAAAGTGAGTGCTAAAATTTAGCAGATAATGCCTCGTTTGAAGGACATAATATCAGAAGAAAAATTTTTATTCAAACTTTTCATTAATAAATTAATTAACACATGGCAATCACTGAATGGATTATTAACCACCACATAAGCAATGACATGGTGGTTAACAACCACTGAATATTTTCTCCTTGAAAGCAGCTTGTCACTTAAGCCACTTGGAAGTTACTCCTTAGTTATTTTCCCCCCCAAAGTCTAATTAATTAATATAGGAAATTATGTTATTATATATTTGCTACAAGAAAAACCTTCTTCGGAGTTAATCTTTCATCTCAATCACATCCTAAAATCACTCCGCCTTATCCGAACGTGATTAATTTACAATTTCAAATGAATTTAAAACTCATAATTTAATTCAAAAAATAATTTCCAAATCTGAAGAACAGATCCTCCAATCTGATCCCCAATTTTATTATCTCGGGGAAGAAAAAACCTGGTTTGAAGAAAAAGCTCCGATCAGTATAAAGGTCGAACTAGGTAACGTAAAAAATAAATAAGCGTAATCAAACGAAGAAGAACAACGCCTTTTGTTGATTTACGGGGATGTCAAATCGCTATGAAATATTTACAAGGTCATTTGCTTCCACCCTTTCTCATTGATTAATGCCAGATAATCATTATATATATTAAAGGAAAGAAAGATAATCGACACGTATCGCCAATTCATGCCATCAACATTTTGAGAGACACGTGTCATTAACTCATTGGATGGTCATTAAACAGTAAAAAAAATAGTAACTTGGTTATTCTGTTTGATTACTTTTTGTTATTTACCTTGTTGTTATTTACTTCCTCCGTCCTAAAAAAATAGTCCACTTTAATAAACAATTTTGTCCCCAAAAAAAAGTCCAGTTTCATACAAATCAAAATTAATTGAATTGAAATGACTTAAATATCCAAAAGAGTAGTGATAAGGAAAACAAGGTCCACTTCTTTGATTTTTATTTTTTTTAAGTTTTCTTCTATTTTTTTCAATGATTATATCTTTTAATACATGAATAATTAAAAAATATGTTATATATCAAATTAATCTACGTAACGAGATCTTTCCATCAAGATCCATTGTCAATATTTTTTGAGATAAAAATTTTGATCAAATTTAAGTTGTAAAATAAATGCATATGTAGTTGACTTTTTTAGAAATAACTATAAGGGGCATTAGTGTAAGTTATGGGCATAAAATGAGTTGTACATTTGGTGTGTTGACCAAATTAAAAAAGTTGTACATTTTCAAACTGGACTATTTTTCTGGGACGGAGGGAGTAATTTTTTTTTAAAAACTGCTGTTATAATATATAAATCACACAGTCGATCAAAGATCTTTCATGACGTCAATAATGTAAGATGTTTTATTCTTTCAACAATGTATCGTTTCAATCAAACCTGTGTCATGGATCTCATTATGATATTTTACATGAAGAACATTGAATTAGTTCACAAATTAACATTTTGGGCAAGATTTAATTACAGAAGATAGAAAAAAAAAATTCTTACAGAATCTCTTCGTACAAAATTAGCAAAGGGAATCAAGATGGTTTAACAAATTTTGCTCTCTTCTCATCAAAACACTAAAATAACCCTAACCCATAAATGCCAAAACTGACAACTGTTCTCCAAAAACACTTCTAGGCCAAACAGCACATGGGTGTGAGAGGCGACGAGGATGACAATGGCAGCGACAGCGGCGACAGTGTCGGAGAATATGAGGAGGGAAGAGTTTTCACGGCGGTGGGAACATCGGGTATGAACCTCGGTCAAGATGTTCTAGGAAACAGGTCAACGCCGGCATGTGGCGGAGAAGCTCCAACGCCGGCATGTGGCGGAGAAGCTCCGTCGCCGTCAGGGATTAACCTGGTAGCGGCTTTGGCAGCGGAGAGGCAATTCAAGGGGGCCTAGGAGTTTGAGGGGTTTAATCAAAGTCCAACAACAAGGCTATCTGATGTCAACAATAATCAGGTAGGTGCGGAACCACAGACAAAACAAGGGATGCCATTGAGAATGTCGTTGATAACAATTGTTGGAAGAAACGGACAGGTGGAATGAGGAGAAAGAAAGAGCAGGGTTGGTTTCCATGTGTTGCGTGTGTATGGGAAGGAAAAGGGGCGCAACAGCGTTCATACCATATGAGCACACTTTTTGCCTAGTGTGTTCCAGGGAAAATTGGATGGAATCGAAAGAGACTTTAATCGATAAGAGGCGGCGGTGACAATGATAATGTTTGAGTTAGGTTTTTCCGGGGATGAAAATTAAGAAAGGCAGAAAAGTTCTACTATATTTATTTTTTTTTTTTGTAAAGAAAAAAAGAAAAAGTCATGGGGACAATTAGTGGGTTGTTTATCATTTCACGTTCTTTATCGGTTGATCGATAAGTTTCACCAGTCAAAGGAGATTTTTGATATTTCCTTAGAAGATAAGGGTGTTTTAGTTAATCGACTAAACCTCGGGGTTGTTTTTTATATCAATCCTTATTTTAACCTAAAATTGGTCTCCTAGATTTGAAAATGATGTGTCCTTGACTCCTGAAAAAATGAAGTATGATGATAAAAAAAAAGAAAATTTATCTGCACTCTATAATCGGAAAATTATGCATCGGAATTCGAAATCGGGTATCGACTACTGAGCTTTTGGCCGGCATATTCTAAATCCCAAGCTTGACGACGATGACTGTCAAATTTTGCCAAAAAGAAAAAAAGAAAAAGAAAAGCCATGATTCATCGATGAAATCAATGGGCCTCCCAATTTATATGATTTCTAACTTTCGGAGTTATATCATCGAAATTACGAAAAAGGGTTATCCATATGTTTTACTTAATTCACGAGTCTCAAACTGGACTCCTTAATACGAATCGATATTCGCATCTCTTTAATCATGAAGACCCAGTTTATACGATTGCTGATTTTCGAATTTATACAATCGAAATGACGAAAATGACCCGTCTGTATATTTTACTAAACATGTTAGTTCTAGCCTGGACTCTTTAGTCCAATTGGACATTTTAGTTTTTTGGTTAGCCTATCATTAATCAGTCAATATTTATTATAAAAAGTTATTATAAAAATTTTTTTTTGATTTTTTTTGCGGAGCTGGCTCAAATTGGATTTTTCTTTTATTTCTACATTTTTTCCTTTGATATGTTTTCACATAATTATATTCTATTACTAAATACATTGATAGAAATATATTATGGGTGATTATTTAAAGAGATCCTTTTTAATATATTTAGTAACTCATCCAAACAGTAATACCTTGTGGTTTGCATAATGAACAACCCACTATTGCAGTTTTTAAGAATAAAATATACAATAAACAACAAACTTTTATAACTTTTTTACTTTGATCTTTTGATTTTTTTTTTCTTTTTGGTGATTTTCAAAATATCTACTATTAATAGTTTCATAATCTTTATATTCTAATTACTGATTATGTGATACAAAATTTTAATACAATAGTATCTAAATTCTGTCGTGCAATACACAAGGTACATACTAGTATGTACAACAGAAAACAAGATTCCATCAAGTAATCCATAATGATCCATACTTTTCTCAATTTAACAGGTTATATAGATGTCGGTCGGGCACACCCGGGCTGAGAATCTAGTTATTGTTTAAAAAACATAGCGTGGCTACATTCTTTTGACTTTTATCACGTACATTCGAGCACCTAATATTTAAAACAGTCCATTAACAAGATTCACAAAGGTGATACTCGGATTATCAAATAAAACGAGTTGAAATTCACTTTTTGTTTTTTGTCCATAGACTCCATTCTCTTCCAAACAGAGTTCAATACACACCCAAACACCATCTTTCTCTCCAATCCATTGTTTGGGGGAAAAAGAGGCACCAACTTGTAGCCAATTACGTAGAGACGGTAAATTAATTAAGGTTGCTAGTTCAAGATACATAATACTAATAGGAACAATAAAAATATTTACTATGAATTACTTCCCCGTTCCATAATTATTCTCCAGTTTGGATTTTCATTTTAGTTCAAATTATACTAAAACTGAAATCTCAAACTGGATAATAATTTTGGACAGAGGGAGTAATTTCATTTGAAATGGCAACTTTTCCATTCTCAAAACCACCAAGCTCTTCTGATCAACATTGAAAGGTGGTTGTTCACTGATTGGATGGTTTTGTTCATGCATGGCGGATTCAACGAAGTTCACCACCTTCAACTTAAAAGGTACGCATGCATGTAAATATTTACTACTACACCTTTCTTCTTCAAACCGCAACTGTGCTTTTATTGTTTCCCGCTGTCCTAGAATCATCAAAATTCATAACTACTCATTCAAGCAAACATGAAACACCTGCAATTCTGGCCATATATACAATCAATTATTTTCAAGTCAATGAATTAATTGAATCCCAACTATTTACAGCTGCTCTATTTTGCAGGCTTAATTTAAATTGAAACCCTTTCTCTTTTGTTTGTTTTTTTTTTTCCCTTGGTTTCATATCCTTTTCTTGAATCTTCATTCTAGCTGTTATTTGTTTTTTTGTTTTTTTCTTAGTTATGATAAATGGATAAATCTTCAAGGTTTCTCAGCGGTTCCCACTTCCCAATAAGTTTTTTGAATCAAAATTTTCAACTCTTTTGGCAGTGATGAAAGTCAAAACCACGTCCCAATGATATTTGTTGCATGCATGAGAATACAAACCAGAGACGTGCAATAAATATGTGGCAAAAAAAACAAAAAACATTTTCTGCTTTCCTTTTTCTTTTATGGTACTCTATTTTTTTCAATTTTCCATATATATCGATCGATCCTTGGGTTGGTAGCCTCCAATTAATGAATTAATGTGGTCTCTTGTCAACGGCACATGAACATTCTTCATGGAGTATAGTACATATCAACGACATTCATGCTTTGATTTGATCTAAAAAATTGATTGATTATGATTTCGTTTGACATAATTTCTATAAGATATTGTTGAAAAAAAGGTTTTGGATATCTATTAGTACATCCAATAACTAGTCACGGAAAAGTTTGTATAAAAGTTTCGTTCCTTTACAATAGTTGACATATTGTAGGAAGATGGTATAAGTATTAGAAAAGGAGAACAAACGATTTGGAGACAATTAATTTTCCTCGTAAGCACTCTCCTGGATCGAATGAAGATTAGCATCGGCCGATATGTGTTTGTTTAAAATACTTTTCATAATTCATTCATCAATCAGGAAGAAAAAAGAAAATAACAAATGAAGATTTCATCTAAGAAGTCATCTTGAATTCCATATCTTGCAAAAGCTATACCAAGGATCAACAAGGTCTCTATTCAGTTACATTATTTAGTACTCCCTCCATTTCAAAATAAGTGTCATTCTACTGTTTATACACAATTTAAGAAACTCTTAATTAGGTTAACTAAGTTACTACAATATCTTCAGGACCTCAACTAACCCCATTAAAATAATATTTACCAATAATATTATTTCTTTTGAGAGTATGTTTGGAAATTTTTGACAAAAAATGCATTGAAATAAACGATACTTATTTTAAAATTTTTCTATTTTGCTAAAACGACACTTATTTTGGAATGGAGGAGTAATACTTTGAATTTGGCTTCATATATACATACTATGACATAAAGCATCTCGGAATAACAATCATAAGAAAGAGGGCACAGATAGGAAGTACATCTGATCCAAAATGCATGATTAATCAATTAAGAATGATTAGATTTTACGTACACAATATGGACATGATTCAAAACAGTTAATTACACGACTTAAATAGTTAAATGGCCGAGAGTGGACACTAATCCATCATTATCAAAAGGCATGGAATAATTTTAGATCTTATAGTTAAATTATTTCACATCTATCAAAATGTTTATAACTTTGCAAAGGAACAATCGAGATGGACACCCCTGTTTAACAGAAAAGTTGATATATATACGATGTATGTTTCGCATATAACACCAAGGGACACAAATCATAATCCTCAGTATGTGTATTTGCATCACGAAAATATATCGAAAAATGCTACTACTGCTAGTTTGTTACAAGCAACTAGTATTACTAATCACTCCATTCTAAAATAAATGTTACTAAATAATTCACATACAGTTTAAGAAACACTTAAATAAGATAAGTAAATTACTAGAATATTCTTAATTTATCTCGTTAAACAAATAGTTGACACTAATAATTTTTCTTTTGAAGGTCATTTTGAAAATTTGAAATGAAAACTAAATTGGAATAGAAAAATGATACTTATTTTAATTTTTTTTTTAAATTTTGATAAAGCAACACTTAGTATTTCAGAATAGAGGAAACACAAAATTAGGTTTTTGTACACTTGTAGTACACTATAGAAGTTCTTCGTCTACACGTACGTTGACATTTTGGAACTAAATGCGATCACTTATTTTTCATTCAACTAACTCTGTCACCATTGTACAGATATACCGCTACTACTCCCGAGAGGTGTGCAGTCTAAAATTAATGCCAAAACTCCATTACTCCTACATTCATTCAATATCTCCCTAACTGTTTTCCAAAATTTCCACTCCAAAAACCCCTCCATAAATACCACTCTTTCTTCCACTTTCACAAACATCCCAATCTCCTGAATTCAACAACAAGTCTTTCTAATATACATCTTTTTAGCTAAAGGGTTTAATTTTCATCATGGCAAAGTTGTACTACCAGATTCTGTTCATGGTTGTTGTACTTTCTGCATTACTTGTTGTACCTTCCACAGCTGCAAGAAACATTCCTTCTTCTGCTGATGACGCACCAAAAGTTGCTGACGAAGCAGCTCCTCACCATGACGTCACTGCCGCCGCCGCCGCTGCTGCTGAGAAGAACACCGTGCATGTGGTCCCACAGCAACAAGCCGGAGTTGTGGCTTTCGTGCCGGTGACCGGCGCAGTTGCCGGAGTTGGTGGCCTTGAGGATAAGAAGAACTTCATCGCTTACGGCGGCGGCGTTGGTGGATGGGGTGGAATTGGCTACATTGGGGTGTTGCCGGTTCTTGGTGGAATCGGTGGAATTGGTGGCATGGGTGGTGTTGGAGGGATCGGTGGAGTCGGCGGCGTTGGCGGACTTGGTGGCGTTGGAGGTGTCGGAGGTGTTGGCGGTGGTGCCGGAGTTGGAGGTGGAATTGGAAAAATCATTCCCTAAGATGTATGCACAAGCATGATGATATTTCCGCTGACTTTCTGGTAGCACTTTTAATTTGCATTATTAGGGTTCTTATTTTCGAATTTCCTAAGTTTGTAGTATTCCTCTTTTAATTTGTAGTAGCGTTTTTGTGGGAAGAAATCGTGATCATTATTAGGTTTCTAGGTCCTATGCTAGTATTATTATTATGTGTCTTGATCTTCAGATGTTTTTTGAGTCAGTTGTTTTTAATGCGTATTAGTATATCCCCGTGGATTTTGATATCCTTAGTTTTGTTTTCACTTATTTTGATGCAGTTTTATTTTTATTTTTATGAATTACTACATATTATAAAATAGGCAACAAACCTATAAGTTAATGAAATAAATAATATCATTCCGGGGTTTAAAAAACCCGATAACATCTCGTTACAATCACTCTTGCTCATGAAGAAAGATCATAGAGCCATCTACATGAAGCAATAATATTTTCAGCCTATTAAAATACTTCATTAGGTTAGTTCAAGATGGATCAATTTATTATTTATTATCAATATATAGGGGATGGTTGTAACTCAATGTCATGTGGATGTAATCCTTAATTTGTTCGTGTTTTAATAAAACGATTATCGCTATTTAAAAAAAAAATTGTGGAAAAAGAACCAAGTGAGAAGAACTTACCAAATATATAAACAATTGCAACATTTACTAGGATTAGGATTCAACGTGATCATTGTCCAAACCTAATTCGTATTTAATCTTCTTTGCCTATAAATAATACTTGCTCGTCGCAAATATCATACTTCCAAATCTTTAACAAGGGTTTTTGGAAAAGAGGAAAAAAAAAATGCCTAAAGCTACGAATTCTAGTTCGTCATTAGCAACTTGTCGTAATGGTCAACCTAAGAGGGCATCTCCGTATGAGAAAAACCCTAATCCGAAGAACAAGAAATTAGAAGAAGAATGGAAAGAGATCAAATGTCCAATCTGCTTCGATCACCCGCACAACGCCGTGTTATTGATCTGTTCGTCGAACGAAAAAGGTTGCCGGCCGTACGTCTGCGACACCAGCGCCCGGCACTCGAATTGTTTCTCTCAGTATTGTAGGTCACACTCGGTTATCCCGTCCAAAACCCGAACCCGACCCGAATTAAGTCACAATGATGATGATGGTGATCGGAAGTACCTAAACAAGTTCGTGAGCTACGGGGGAGAAAAGGGTTCTTGCGGTGGGCCGGGTCGTAACCCATCCGAATGCCCGTTTTGTCGGGGCGAGATCCGGGGATGGATCCGATTAGGAGATATCCGTAGGTTTATGAATTCGCTAGTACGAGAATGCGCGCTGGAATCATGTGAGTTTTCTGGTACAGAATTGGAGTTAAGGAAACATGCCCGAATCGAACATCCAAATTCGAGGCCAACATTCTTGGTTGATGAAGAAGAAGATGATGGAGAATATGATTATTATGATAGTAACGTGGGTGATGTATATATTGAAGAAGAAATCCTTGATCAATACGATCTTGAGATTGTACGGATCGCGGTGCCATTGTATGAACTCGACGATTGTCCTTTATGGCGAGTGGTGTCTTCAAGTGACTATTTAAGAGGGATGCAAGAACTTTATCCCGCGGACAACGTTATGTATTATCGGATAGATTTCCGACGAGGAGTAAAGATCGACATACATGTCCATCTGGATAATCGTCTAATTGAGTGTCAAATTAACGGTTCATTTGGCAATACTATGAGTGTTACAGATAGTTACTTTAATAATAGAGAACGTGGTAATGTTCTTGTTAATATGTTGTAACATAGCTACTTGTGACAAGATCGGGATGTTTTGTTTATTTATTTATAATTCATTCTTGTTACTAGTGTAATTGATTTTTCCAAAGACAGGGTTTTTTAGAGAGCCAAAATATGTTCCAAGTTCCACAATCAATGGATTTGGATTAATTCTTCAAACGAACTATGTATAGAGTCGTCGTTCACTCATTTGCAATGCGTTTCAGCAAACCTTTTATAGCCCTCATATATATTCAAAAAACCAACAATTTCACTATCTGTCTGGTTTCATTCAGTTAATCTATTTCTGATGCAAGGTACAACATGCATTCAAATAAGGATGAGAATCAGAAAATGTAATTTAACTCTTCTAGAGTAAAAATCAAATTAATGTAAGGAATAACAATTATTTAAGGTCGTTCTAAGAAAAGAGATCGAAGCTGCACATAATATACAAATAAAATACAATGGTGAACCTCTCACATGTTTTTAATATAGTGAACCCCCTCTTGACTTGATGATCTCTAACAAACTTTTTACACTCAAAATTTGTAAAAGATAGTCTTAAAATAAGAAGAAAGATAGAAATGATTTACAAATACTAGTTAAACATTATATGCAGTTACATATGTGATAACATTAATCATTAAAGAAACGTAATTGAAAATCTTCCGTTAGTACTATATAAACAATGATAACTTTCACCCAATTGGCTTAAAACCTTTACAATATATTTGCTAAATTTCAATTTGCTAGGGATATGGTAAAACGCTTATACTCAAGCAGTCAAACGAGTAGTATCATTATTGGAATGAAAAGAAATTAGTAGCAATTTAAATGACAAAAGAGTAAAGAGGCAAATCTATCAAACTTTCTAAAATAGAAGGACCTGTGCAAAATTATTTGCTTCGTTTTCACAAAGGAAATTGATTGATATTTACGCCTGGCTGGCGTTTAGAAAAGGGCGGGAAACAAAGAGAGTGCCCAAATCTTCACACACAGAAAGTGTGAACTGCGTGCGATTCTGCTCCGGGGGAGAGGAAATGAAGAGCTCCAGCTCGAGTGGCGACGTAAAGGACTTGCTCGAAGCCATTCAATCTTCTGATGTAAGCTCTTTAATCTTCTTCAATGTTACAAATTTCAATTCTCATTCAGTTTGATTTTTTTCACCCCCAAATGATTTCGCTAGGTTTTTCAATTGCGTTGATTTTTCTCGCTGCAATTGATTTTGAAGCTCGTTTTCATCGCAGATTGGGTATTCAGTGTTTATCTACCTATTTTATTTTAAGATTTAGTGACCAGTAAAGAGTAGGGTTTTAAAGAATACAATTGTTTTGGATTATAGGTGCAAATTGGTAATCGAAGCTTACACAATTTGTTTATTACTGCTTTAATGGCCGTGGGAATGTGAAAAGGTTTATGTAAATTCCTTGCAGCTAGCTCAATTATCTTGAAATGCTGATTCTGCCGGGAAGCAAATGAATGTTTTTCCCATATATTTGTATTTGGATTGTGGCGTCTCTATGCATCTTTATGAGTTTTAAAGTATTTCAAAAACCTCCTAGTGTTTCTTGTTATCCTAGCTTAACCTACGTGATCTGTTGATAGCAATGAGCACGGAATATGATAAATGATGATGCTAAGTCATCTGGAAACAGTATAATAGAGCTATTGAAGCATTGATAAATCTAATGAAATGTTGCTTTAATCATACATCATGCTGAGTATTTCAATTTGGTAGTCTGATAAATCTAAATTCCGGCCTAATCATGTCTTGCAGGTTGTTGAGAATCGAGTTCAACTTCTTACCACTCTTGGAGAGTTGGAGATAATTGATAAATGTGAAGTGGCTTCTCTTGTTGGGGCATTAACAGTATCCTCAGAGCTTTTGTAGAATCTAGCCTTTATTCCCTACATATATATGGATAATCTACTCCTGAGTTATAGCATGTGAATTAATGTTCTGTTGGGCTGATTTCTGTAGTCTCCAACCTAAGTTGTGGCTTTTCTGTGTGTTCAAGCTTCTTAATTACCCTGTTGTAGAGAAGAGAAACACAAACACAATCCTACTGATGCTAATCATTAGTTTCTCATAATCTGTTAAATGAATCGTTATTCTGATTGTTGTGTACCTTAACATTTACTAGATATTCTGGGAAGACTTCACTTGTTTGGACATTTCGCAATGCAAAATGAACAAAGCCATTTTGCTTATAGCCGCTAAATACCTGGAGTCAGATGCTCCGGGGTCCCTAAGAGAATTTTTGATCCTTGGAGTAAAGGTCAATTTCCTTCCCTCCAGTATACACTGTTGCCTTTTAAGAATTAAACTATGAAACTGTACTTTCTCGGAACCTACCACTTAACCTGCTTATTCTTATGCTATATACCAGGCAAGCGTTTGGTGCCGTAAACATTTACAGATGACTCTGATGTCAACTGAGGAATCTCAAGAAGAAGAGCACAGCGTCCTGTTTTATCAGGTGAAAGTTTGCATTTACATGGTATTTGGATGTAGTTTTAGGCTTGAACTGATATATACTTACAAGTAGTCACTTGTACATATAGGCCACTGAAGTGATGAATATATATGGGATTTTCCCCCTTGACACTCATCCAATGTTTATTTCCTTATGATTTAGTCATACAACTGAAGACAATGTCGACTGACATATAATTTTTGGTATGTTTGAGCTTTTCAGAATATTTTTGCTTGCAAAAAACCTTACTTATAGTTTATAAATTCTACTCTCCGATTTAAATTATGGTATGTTTAAAACTATGTGTGTCAACCGAATAGAGTGGAGACATATTCTTCATATACCCAGCCCCAAATAGGGAGATAAAGGCTTCTTGTACTTGTAAACTGTATGCTTCTACTTTATCTCAATTCACCTGGAGGTGTCAAAAATGTGATTTGTGCTTGTGACATTCTTTCATATAAATTTATGCTGTACTTGTAAAACAAAATATGGGAAAAGCTAGCTGTTCTGACATCTTTTATGCATTATCCTTTGACTTCTTTCCAGTTGCTCATCAATTTGCTGAGCTATTCAGCTTCCTGCTTTTCCAATTTGGCAAGGAATTCTTTCTCTATCAGTAAGGAGGTGATTCCGACAGTTGAGAGTTTTATTTCAGAACTATTAAGCGTGGCAAAAGATGCATTATCGGCTGTAAAAGTAAGATCCTCTGGAACCATATTTATGTTTCATGCTGTTTCTTGGACCTGGAATATAGTTAGTTGTTTTATGGCTCTACGTTTCTGGTATATGCTCTTCTATTGTCCTGTCCTTGAGTAAGGGGTTGTATACCATGAGGATCTATGACAAGTCATCCTTTGTTGATGCTCCTTTAATCTCTTCTGCCCTTATGTTGATCTTTTGCTGAGCCTCAGTTTTTTTCCAGAATATTTTCATATGCAGTAAGCATGCCATGTCTACAATATATCCATATTCATATTTTGCCCTAAAATAAGTTGAATTGTATCCTTCATTTGTGCTTCTTTGTGAAAAGTATGGCTTATCCTTCTACATCATACTGCATTAGATTGAATGCTCAATGGAATTTGAGAGGAAATAAACAGTTAGTCCGTTTCTTGTTCAGCTTCTTGAGAAGCATTTTTCTGTACGAAGAAAATATCAGGCTTATGTTTATCAAGAAAATCCATCATTCGAATGTTTTGGTTCCAAATATAATTCCCATCAGCACATGTTCTTGTGTGTCATAAGAGTGTTTTACAGTTAAAAAGAGTTACAGTTCCATTGAAACAGTTTCCTCTCTCGGTGTCACTATTTATTTCAGTTCAATGTGAAATTAGTGGGATTCAATTAGACTTTTTGTAGCTCCTCTGTTCTCTTTGTTCATGATTTGATGTAAATGGGGTACAAGCTAATCCACTAATGCATATGTCATATTGCTCTCTTCTCTTTTGGTGGCTGAACAGAGAATAGATGCAGTTGGTTCAGAAATTCAGAAGATTGCGCATCTCGTCCTTGATGCTGTGATTCAATTATGTAAGATGTATTGTCAAGGTGCACATCTGGGTTCGGAAAGTTTGAGAAGGGAGGAGGAAAAACAGCTCATAAGTAGTGATAAGTCTAGCGACACAGACCATGCTATGATGATCACGAAAATTACTGTAGATAAGTTATGTGAAATCGGCATCCTTGCTGCTAATGATGGCGGCAGTCTTGTAACTATACTTAATCTTTCTTGGAAAGGTGTTGTTACCTTACTCCAGCTTGGCAAGGGTGCATTAGCTACAATGGTGGATGTAGCGAGCGTAATTCTGACTCTAATTTCCCTGGCCAATCAATCCTTGAAGTGTGCAGCCGACAGTTGGTCACTGAAACTAGAAGAAGCTATCCAACTCGCAGAAGCTAAAAGGATTTTCCTTCCTGTAAAATTTTACCTGATTAATGCAGTGCGTATTATCTCTCAATACCCGGCCCAAGCATTTTCTGTATACAAGGAAGTTATAGGGTGTGTTATTTCAATATCATGTTTTAAAGTTTGTTTGAGCAAGGAGGAACATCTAAAATTTGCAGCAGAAGCTTTGGGTGAAATTCTGGAGCCCACATCTTTTCATCTACTCAATTCCATCCTCCATTCATTGCAAAGCAAACAAGAGGAGAGGTTTCAGGTTTTGGACTGGTTACTTGGTGATGAAATTGACCAAAAGTTAGTTCCACTGATTGCAAGGAACAATGGTGTGCTTAACTCAACGGGTATGGACCATCATTTGAGATCTGATGCAAGAGATGGAACATTGTCTCTTGGTCAAGTTAACTTGTACCTTTATCTTCTCAGAAGTTCTGCTGGTTTTGAAGATCATACCAAAGTTTGGATTGCTGGAAAACTTCAGTGGTTGTTGGATGTCATTATGGATGAGGATGTATATGGTGTTACTCTTAGCGTGCAAGTTCACATGACCTATGCTTCAAGCCAGGACCAGAAGGCAGTTTACCAGCCTTTTTTGCATTCGATACTTGATGCACTAAAAACATTCATGGTGATAATGTCTTCAAATCCAGCATGGACCGAGATAGAATATTTCCTTCTGCAGAACTTAATGCATCCACACTTTCTTTGCCAAGAGATTGTTAATGATCTTTGGTGCTTCAGGTTACGACATGCTGAGGTAGGTTCTGTCGATAACATCATTGACAAGCTTTGCACATTGCTAGCTTTCGCAGCTTCTGCAGAATCAGTAGTTAGTCCTGGCAGTGGTCTGCGACAGATTGCAAGGTCTATCTGTTTGATGGTCACCTATGGTTCACATGCAGTGGCAGATCGAGTTTACAATTTTGTTGCTGGAGAGAACAAATCTCAGAACTCATTAAGCATGTATACTGCCCTCCTCATGGAAGGCTTCCCCTTAAATTTACTTCCAGAACGAACTAGAAGTAAAGCAAAGCAAAGAATTGTAACAGATTATTTTGATTTTGCGGAGAGCTTTACTAGTGAACAACAAAGAGTAGCTGGTTTTGAAACTTATGGTGCTCCGGTGTTTGCTCTCTCAGCCACTTTACAGTCACAGTAAGTAAACCTTTTTTCCCCTGGTAAAAAGACCATTCTGAGAATTGTAGTTCATTTTTTCTTCTTTATCATTTCTTCCATGAAAACATCTTTCAGATGCTTTTGGCTTGAAGATGGTCTTACTTTGGAATCTTTTTTGATGATTAATTTACATTGTAGGCAGGTTAGCCTATCTGATACAGAAATGAAGTCCTTGAAGTTTATGGTTGCTATTATCTCAAAGTACAAAATTGCCAATGACAACAAATTGAAGAACATCTACTGCATGCTTCTCAGTGAAGTCCTAGGAATTATTTCTCACATGCATAACTTGTATTCAACTGATGACATGGAAGCAGTCATTTTGGAACTCCAGAACCTCTTCATCTCAAGGTCGTCATTAACAGCAACAGCAGGTGGTCCCTTATTCCTCTGCAAGCCCAATCTTACTAACTTTATGTCTGGTCTTGGTCACATGGAGCTGGTGGAGAATGATGACAATGCAAAGAGTGCTGCTGTTTGGGGGTTATATCACATGATATTGAGGGAACAACACTGGGCCTTAGCTCACTTAGCAATGACCGCTTTTGGATATTTTGCGGCTCACACATCTTGCAATCAACTCTGGCGATTTCTACCTCCGGATGCTGCTCTTTCATTTGATTTGGATTCTGGAAATGAAGCAGATGAGGAAAGGTTCATGTCCGAGTTGAGGGGATATCTTCAGAAAGAATCTGCTTCCCTTGTGGCAAAGTGTACCCCTGATCACATATCAATGCTTGCAGTAGAAGGCTTGAAGCTAAAAGACAGAGTAGTGGAACAAAGTTCAAACGTCAGAGAGGTTGCTGTACCAATTGATGCCATGGAGATTGATGAAGAAAATCAAGGCAACAAGAAAAGGAAGCTTCCTGATGGAATAAGTGAAGGAGTTGAGTTGCTGCAGAATGGTTTGAAAGTTATGAGTGATGGTCTTTCCCAGTGGGAGCAAAATCAAATTGACCTAACGGGCGAGATTCGTGAAAAGTTTCTTACGCATTTTTCTCGCCTTGAAGACGTGGTCTCAAACTTGGTTAGCCTAACTGGTGATTGCTAAAAGTGAATTGGAAACCTTTCTTTCAGATTTCAGAAAATCAATTACACTGACAACCTGGAGGTCTCAAGTTCCATGCATTCGCATATTTTGACTTTGGTTTTGTGTTATAAAATGTACATATTTTATAGTAGTATATTCATTTAGGTGCAACTGTTCTTCGCTCCCAATGGCAACTCAACTGGGTTTTCAAAATGACAGTGGATCAGGATTATGATCATCACTAACTTAGGTTTGTCCGATGAGAAGCCGTGTATACTGGGAAAGTGGTGTCCTTGTAAACTGGAGGATTTTCTTGCGATAAAAACTCCTTGATTGGTCCATACATTTGGGTTGCAACTGACGCAGGCTTAATGAAGCACGCAATTGAGACTCTCGACTACCTATCTTCCTTGTCAAAACGCTGTGGTTCAAGCTTTTAAATTCGCCATTTCTGATCAGCTGCACCATCCATGGAAACAGAACAAACAAAATCTCTCGGAGAAGTTTTGGTCTAATGAAAGGAAGAGGGAAATGGATGATGCGTTTGGTACAAGGTAGGGCAGGTCGAATCTAGAACCAATGCCAGATTCCAAGTTCATTCGCTGCTTCCGATAATATTCATTCACGGCTAGCTACACCTGATGCTATTTTTTGTTCTTCCAGTTTCTGCATTTTCTATTCACCTCACACAGTCACAGGTGAGGTGAGCGACAGATAGTGAACTACAACAAAAGCGATACCGCTGCTGCTGCGAAAATACAGCTCGAAAGGGTCGTAAGTTCACCTTTAAAATAGGAACTGTTAAACTATCTCTGTCATCATCAATGATGTTGAAAGCAGTTGCCTGTTCGACAAAGATGCACGAAGCCAAGAACTGAAATTGAGTAACAATTTCCAATAGGTAAAAGAAGGATTTGAATCTGATAAGCTTTCAGATGAACAGTGTAACTTCAAAGAGTTTGCTGATAAACTATGCATAGATTTCATAAAGCATCAAGATTACTTCAGTTGATTAAAGAGAATCCCGGTTGTGCTGACTTTATTCAACATCCAAATAATCACACAGAAAGGCAGAGCTGACACCTTCTGTGTGGAATTGCTCCATCATGCTTCAAACCCCATAAACTGTGCTCAAAGTATTCCTTTCAAGTTCTAATGAACCAGCAGCTACGGTGGTTATACTGTTAACTCCCAGAAACTTCATCACACCATCCACACCGACTACTCTTTTGAATGATGCCCTGCATTATCAGATATAAAGTTTCAAGGACCAATATATGTAGATGCTTGGATGAAGCAATGTAAAACTAAAACTGATAAGACTGAAGAAACAACAAAGGTCAGAGACACCCCTTAATATAGAGGTTTTTTCTTATGTGAAAAAACATTCAAGTAACAGCTGGTAGAGCCTCTAAAGTTAATCAAAATTTCAGACATATGAGAGTATCAAGCTAGGAATAACAGCTCAAATGTCACCTTCAAACAATTAATAGAAGCAACTGAAAAGAACCCCAAAAAGAGAAGAAAAAAGAAAAACCTATAACTGACAGGATAAGAGCCCTTCAGTAATCATCTATTTGTCTTACACCAGGGGAACTAAAAGCTAGTCTGCAAACAACATGAAGCAGCAGACCTCTGGTTCTTCATAATATTATTAGCATTAATTCTTTGCTACTAAGATAAGTTCAAATTAATGCAACAAAATCAGAGAAAAAATTTTCTTCAGAAGAGTAGATTTGGACAGTTCTGTAAGAAGTCTTCCTACACGTGAAAGTGCAAAACTTAACAATAACATAAACTTTCATATGTCACAGTGGCAAATCATCAAACAGAGCTGAGTTTCAAAATTTAAAAAAGATCAACAGATATAAGAAGAAAATGCAAAGATTGGAACTATCATTAAAACTCCCGAATAAAATATAAAATGTGAACAATAAGGGGCAAAATGGGAATGTGACAAACTGATACTTAAGCTCCTCATCATGCTTAGACTAATATTTGCCTGATGCATAAGATGGAATCAGAAACAGCAGGTTTCAGTATCTTAAGAGACATCAAAATAAGTTAGTCAACGGAATACAAAAAGTAAAAGCCTATAAGAAAATTGACCAGGCCACACCCTTTTGCATGTCAAAAACTACTATCCTTCTCCATAACGCATGCAACTCAAAATAGCATCATGAAGACCAAAATCAGTATGGCAAAAAACCAGAACAGCCTTGACTTCTTTAACATAGATCAATAAGCAAATAACATTGTGTCATGCAATCTATATAATTCAATGAACATCAAAACCTTAAGTATCCAAGATGAGTAGTTGACCAAGTGACGTGAAACTGGAAAGTTGAAATGGAGAAAAGTACTTTAAAACAGGCATAATAAAATCTCCTTTGGGTGATTAACCAGAAAGCATAAACCAAATAGGCACAATGTTCCTGGAAAAGAAGTTTTCTACTTGATAATGTTCAAGGTTCCTATCAAGGAAGAATCAGTACCTTCCTCAGAAAATACCGCTGCATTGTTTTGTTTCTTTTTGCCCCAGCCTTCTGTTCAGTGAGAGTAAGTGCTTGAGTTGCAGTCCCGTGAAAGTTTGGCAACAGTTATACAGAGTTGTGACATGATAACACAGCGTCTGGTCATAATCTTAAATTCAAACAACCTCCACGCTGATCATATTTGTGCTGGCTTTACCAATGACCAGCTTCTCACCAAGAACCATTGTGTTTTAAAGAAATTTGTAAAAACAAAGCACACACATTTCAACAACTAATACAGGAAAACTAAGAAATCTAGAGGACTCTACCATCAAACTAAAAGTGGCTAAATGGGATCCAAGAGGATGATTACACCAATATACAAACCATGCTGCCAATAGCTAGCCTCATTTTGCTCAGCTAAACTCAACCATAAATAAAACCATGCAATAATCACATCAACGTTAAGCGGTTCAGGAACAATTATGACTACGCAATAAGCACACGTGTTTCTATTTGTATATCCCACAGGTAGTACAATAGAAAAGCTGGGACCAGAGGAGTAAAGCACAAATGTTTGAAGAGATAAATTACTGCACAGGAAATCCAGCCCAGACAACAATTTGATATGAACATTAAAAGCCATGAAAGTAGAAGTAAAGTTGGAGCAATTACCAGAAGAATCCTATAAATGAAAGGAAGGGTGAGGAGAAAAAAAAGAAGATGGGTACTTACAACAGATTATATGACCAAAAATTCCATCGCCAGAATGAAAGCTAGACTGCATGTATATGCTTTGTGGAGTTATGTTGAACTGTGCAGTTGTATTTGCTTTCTAATAAGTGACGCAATTTAAAAAAGCATGCATCCTCGAAAAATAGCAGGCAATGCAAGTTATATATATATATTTTCCACTGAATCGAATTTACAAGATGATTGCTATAACCTCACCATGATAAATAATACAAAAAAATAAACAGAAAAAATTTTGATTAGTATCATCTAAAAGGAAAACAAGGGCACACAGTCATAAGTTGTCATCTTTCACAGAATAATCATACTCTGGAGAAGAAACGAGGTGCCCTTCTTGTTCATTAGACTCAATAAGCATTAGAACGACCTCCCGCATTGATGGCCGCTCTGATGGAGACATACTTGTGCAGATCAAAGCAATTTTCAGTACAGTGATCATATGGTTTACAGTACTTTCATCTTTCAGGTCTAACCGGCTATCAAGTATCCCAGATGACAACGAGTTGTTTCGAATATAATTCCTGACCCATGATACAAGATCACCACCATAATCTAATGGCTGTACAGGAGTTCTTCCAGTTAACAACTCCAACAACACTACCCCAAAACTGTAAATGTCACATTTTTCCGTCACCTTCATTGTGTATGCATACTCTGGAAGAAAGAAGATTCAAATCAGGTACAAAGGTCATAATTATTTCATTTATATGGTACAAAAGCAGCAGGTCTACAAATTACACAAGAGTTGCAAGTCTCAAATTGGATAGAACACAAAAAACAATATAGTTTACTCAATATAAAAGTGACCAGTACCAATAAACACGAAGCATTATGATTTTCCGAAAGGTGGCTCAAAATTCTAGTTCAGCAAATGTTAGAAACCAGATCACGTAGTGTCACAAGGATCATTCAGTAGTAGGATAAGAATAGAAACTCAGCCAGAAAGTAACCTAAAAGATAATCAGGAATTCAGGATATTCTCCATTTGTTAGTAATGCTAGTTTATGATAAGAGTCATAGCCTACAATTTCAATGGAATTTCCAAAAATAAGTGAACAAGCCAAAATTGCTTCTAAGCAAATCTTTTCAAGGTTTGGACTTTCTTTTTCTTCCTTCTAAAGCAGGTTGTCAACATAATGAAAATTGCATCATGAAACTGCATTCAGGAACAGAAGGATGTACCTGGAGCAATATAACCATATGATCCAGCAACCGCAGAAACAGACTTGGATTGTGGCATATCAATCACTTTTGCTAAACCAAAATCACCAACGTGAGCCTCAAACTTCTCATCAAGTAGGATATTATTGGATTTTATGTCACGGTGTATAATCCTAGGTTTGCAATCATGATGCAAATATGAAAGACCTTGAGCAGCACCAAGTGAAATAGTAAACCGTGTAGGCCAATCCAAGCAACAAGATGATCCATGAAGCAATTCACCCAGGCTGCCCCTTTCCATGTACTCATAAAGGAGCAGATTGGAACCTTGATGATAACAAAATCCAAATAACTTCACAATGTTACGGTGTCTAATTTTTCCTAGAGTTAGAATTTCGGCCTGGAAACTGTTCTCGATACTATTACCTTCTCTATTAGATGCAAGCTTCTTAACAGCAATAGTTTGTCCAGATTTCATAACTGCCTTGTAAACTGTACCAACAGCTCCCCTTCCCACAACATAACTATCATGAAAGTTGTTAGTAGCCTCTACCAGGTCTTGGAAAGTAAATCCTTCTTTTGGAGGGAAATATATATCTGAAGAAGGAGAGGATGTATCCTTATCTTGCAATGTGATCTCCTCTGGGCGCTGTTTCATGAAGTACAGAATAACCACAATTAAAATAAGAGAGATTCCACCAATGACAGCAGCAACAATTGTGACAATCTTCCCTCGTGGAGCAGTTAAAGATTTTGCAGGAGCATTAGCACCAGATGAATCTGAATCAGCACAATTCCCAAGCGGCCCACCGCAGAGGCCTTTGTTTCCAATGAAGCTGCTGGTATTCATGTTAAGGAACAATGGCACAGCTGGTAATGGACCAGAGAGATCATTATATGAGAAATTGCAACCAAGAAGACTTGAAAGATTTCCAAATGTACTCGGAATTTCGCCAGTTAGATGATTCTCATTTAGATAGAGGTATTCCAATAAGATAAGATTCCCAAGTTGGGGAGGTATGGGACCCGAGAGGTTATTGTAACTAAGATTCAGAGCAATCTGCAATCCTGTTAGCATACCCAACTCCATCGGTATTTCACCTGATAATTGATTTCCACCCATCTGCAACTCAGTCAAATGAGATAAATTGCCAAATGCAACTGGTATGCTTCCAGAAAGCTTATTCTGGGAAAGAATTAGAAGTTCAAGCTGTGAGAGGCTTCCAAGCTCAACAGGTACAACACCAGTAAAATCATTCCAGCTGAGGTCAAGCCGTTGCAATGACTTACAGTTGCCAATTTCTGGAGGTATCCCTCCAGTGAGAGAATTAGAAGAGACATTGAAAGTCACAAGCTCAGAAAGATTTCCAATCTCACTTGGCAATTGAGATGTGAAATTATTGTGAGAGATATCAAGCCTCTGCAACTTCTGGCAGTCTCCAATCTGCGGAGGAATAGGACCACTGAACATGTTCTGACCCAATTCAACTGCAGAGAGATTTACCAGTTTGCACAAGTCCGAAGGAAACGTCCCCGTCAGCCTGTTACTATCAAGACGAAGTTGTATCAGAGAAATGCAATTAGTCACATCAGATGGAATGCCCCCGTACAGTCCATTCAACTGAAGATTCAGCAAAATCAAATTGGAGTGCCGACAAAGATACGGAGGAATTCTTCCTGTCAAGTGGTTGTCTGAAAGATCAACCACCCAAAGTGGACTATATGACCCAAGCTGTTGAGGGATGACACCACTCAAAGAATTTGTGAATAGTTGTAGCATGATCAGCGACTTTTGATACTGAAACCCAAAAGGAATAGGGCCTGTAAGGAAATTGATTGATAGATCAAGCTTTGTCAAGTTCTTCAAGCCACTGAGCTCATTTGGTATGACACCTGTGAGTTGGTTCTGGAAGAGGTAGAGTAATTGTAGACCCTCAATTTGACTCAACTCAACTGGAATTTCACCTGTCAAAAAGTTTTCAGAGAAGTCGATTTCTAGTGCCAAAGAAAGATTGCCAAGCTCTCTTGGAATTGTACCATTCAAAGCATTCCGGTAAATATACAGTTTCCTCATCCACTTAAGGTTCCCCAATTCAACAGGAATTTCTCCAACAAGATTGTTCTGATACAGAGCAAGAGTTTCAAGATTTGTACAATTTCCAATCTCCTTTGGTATTGAACCACTTAACTGGTTATCCCAGAGAATTATGTCTGTCAATTGCCCAAGCATGCCAAGCTCCTTTGGTAAACTACCACTCAAACGATTCTGGGCAAGACCAAGTAATTTCAAGCTCTGGCAGCCCCCTATTGTTGCAGGTAAGCTTCCTGAAATTGCATTCTGCCCCACTCGAAAGGTACTCAAGTTTTTCATATTACCAATAGACTGAGGCAAGGAGCCAGTGATATTATTTGTGTATGCAACAAATTCAACTAGTGAAGAAAGTTTCCCAAATTCATCGGGAATGGATCCAGATATTTTGTTGTTGCAAAGATTGAAATACACCAAGGAAGAAAGATTACCAATTTCTGCTGGAATTGGCCCTTCCAACTGGTTATTGTTCACATAAAGAGATTCTAATCTAGTGCAACTTCCGATCTCCTTAGGAATTTCTCCCCCAAAATTATTGTAAGAAAGGTCAAGATGATTAAGGTGAGCCAGGCCAGCAATACTCGGGCTTATGGTCCCAGACAGGTTGCATGATTTCAAATCAAGAGACCACACAACAGGATCATTATCTGACGTACAATTCACACCAGTCCAACCACAGGGTGTCTGATCCCCAGCATTCCAATTTGCAAGATACCGAAACTCATCCACAATGGACTTCTTAAAATCCAGAAGGTACATCCCCTCAGCATTCAACCCCTCTGATGGGCAAATGAGCAGCATAGCAGCTACAAAAGTTCCAATCCAGGCCACCACGAAACCTCTTCTTGATTCAAGAACTTGACACATTATTCCAACTTTCAACATCAGCCTATATGAGTACTGAGACTGATACAAAACCAATACTATACGTTAGTTTTCAGTCTTACAAAATCCTTGGAATTGAAAAAATGACCCCCTAACAAGCTCAATCATCTAATTAAGTCAACTACAGGAACCCAATGCAATTCAATCACTACTCAACTGATGACTAACTTAATATAAGAGGAAAATCCAAAAACTTCAATAACCCATTAAAGCAACAGGGCAGCAGAAATCATCCACCAAGAAATCAAATACATGAAGATGGGCAAGCATAATTGATTGGCAAATAATCAAAAACATAAGTCAAAAGCTATTGCATACCGTTTGAATCCATCAAGCAGCAAACAAGCTCCAAAAAAATTTCCCAGAAGCAGAAAAACCGCCTCAAATTCAAGTGATTCCTTTAGATGACAAGGCAGAAGTGGCCGTGAACTTCATGAACAAGAAGAGAACAACACCAAATGAGAGTTCCCCAGCTTTACAAGTAAAGATGAGATCTTCCTGATCGCCGTAAAGAAATGAGAAGGGAAACAAAACCCAAGAAAGATAAAAAAAAAAAAATCCAACTTTTACTAAAAGGAAAAAAGCCAGAACTACATTGAGAACAGGGTAATCAAATGCATTGAATTCAAAGATGGGCTTATTTTATTGGTGGGAAGTATTGTTGAGGAAGCAAAAACAAAAAATATATTAAAGAAAAAAACAACAAAAGCCCACGTCTAGTTTTCTGGTAAAAAACGAAAAACTTTGGTGTGGGATTTTTCAGAAGGGTCTAATTCAGAATGGCAATGATAGTAAACGAACTTTCAATGAATCTGAAGAAATATGCAAAAAGGGTCATTGTTCATTGAAGCTTTAGTGGCAGACAAAGCATGCTTTCACAGAGTATATATACATATATATATCTCTTTGGTTTCTATAAAAATTTCCAATCTTTATTTTCCCTTTCTTTTGTTCTTGCTTAATGTAAATTGGACTGGAAGGGGAAAAAAAGTCTTCTTTATCTCTTTCAGTATCTTTAATCTCTCTCTCTCTGTAATCTAGATTCCTTTTCACTCCATCCCATCTCGTAATCTTCTTCTTCCTTCTCTCTCATCCAAAAGTTGGGTCTTTTTTTTAAGTGGTTGATGAAAAATGAGCAAACTCAGAACTTTTGGGCAATGGCAGAAAAGTTTGGCAAAGTTTTTTCTCTTTTTGTTTCTTGGGTCCTTTTTATTTTTTTATTGGGAAGAAATCAAGAAATATGAAACTGGGATTTATTGGATTGAGACAGTTTTTGGTTGGTAAAGCGCTGGGGAATGCGGTCCATCGATAGTGAAAGTCTGCACAAGACAGTTTTTGTACTGTTTCCCTTTTGGTTTTATTTTCTCTCTCGTTTTATAGTTTCCTTTGAAAAGATAAAATTGTTTTACCAAAAAAAAAGAGAGAGATAAAATTGTGTTTTGCTTAGTAGGATCATCATTTCAGAAGACAAATGATAAAAATTGTTTCAAGAAGTAATATAACATGGTAAAATACTAATCATCAATAACAAGTGTAGTATTCCCTCTGTCCCAAAATTATTGTCTAGTTTGAGATTTAACTTTTAGTACAATTTGAACTAGAAATGAAAACTCAAACTGGACAATAATTTTGGGACGGAGGGAATATAATGTATGATGTTTGTGATTTTTATAGTGTGACATATTTCTTTTTGTAATCTTAAAATAATATACGCTTGTATCAAATAAGAACTTTGGTACAATTACTTCTTTAAAAGTAAAAACAAAATCTCTATGATAATCGGAATGTTTTCTTTTTCTTTTTTTTTTTTTTTGAAAAGGCACTTCATAACGTTTTTCTTTTTAGAACTAGGGGAATACTATATAATAGTTATGAATGAGTGCACTACAGGAAATTAATATGAATGTAGTACGTGTTTATTTAGAGTTATTTTATGGCTCCGACTAAAAAAATGAAATAAAGATTAATAAATCTTTAACTGACTATAGTTAATCCATATTAAGTAGAGTTGGAAAAACTGTGTTTAAAACTTTAAATTGCCTACAAAAATATCCATCACTAAGACCTCTTCATAAAGGTAAATGACAATATTACTCAACCAAATCCAAAATAATGGAATTCTAGCCAAACTTTTCATATTTTTTCAGGTAGCTAAGATGGACAACAAAATTAAGTCCAATTATCCTTTCTCTTTGTGCTGTTTTCTCCCCCTCATTCTGACTCATATCTGGTAAGTTGGGAAAATGGTAGGTACTGTTAAAACACATGGCAAAAAAATGTTTAAAGTGGACCTTTACCTTTTGATTCAGCAAATAAATAAACAAGTTGCCGACTTGCCTTTGCCAACTCAAATTTATATATACCATTGAAGCTTAATATGGCTGTCCAAATCAATGATTCATTGCTACGGGATGTTAGTCTAAAGCATCAATAATTTGTTTTTGAAACATATCAACTCAAAGATAAACCATATGCTCTCAATGAATTCGTACATTTTGATGAATCAAGGATAAAAAAGCAATATCAATATAATCATGCACCTACAAAAGTTTAAAAATAGTAACAATAATTTTTTTTTTCCAAGTGGTCAGATAACTATAGATAATTATTTTTCTCAAATGAATAGCTAGGATATTAATAGATTGAACTTATATCAATAATGTAATGAATCTTAACTTACATAATAAAGAAAGCAGTCAAGATTATAGTTTAAAGAACGGTACGAATTTTATCAGTTAATTAGAAATAGAGATATGTAGTATATTTTCTCTCGGCTCTCTAAAATATTAATAATTGTAGCATATTATATGAACTACTAATTGGTGGGAGGACTTGTCACACAGCATTTTCTGGGATTTCCATATTTGCATCGATGAAGAGACATTCTCCCACAATCTTTAGTGGATACATTGTATCCCAACGCCCCACCAACAAATTATTTACATTTCTATATTTATTTGGATCAATCCACCATCCCATATGACTATTTCCCCCACTTTTTTTTTTGATGTGTCAACCAATTAAACCAATTTAATTGAATCACGATTCTTTACTCTCATAAAACAATGAAAAAAAAATGCTGATATATGGCACTATATTTATGAAGAGAAGTATACAAATTGATGTAGAAATAACCACTAATTAGCTAAGTAGAAGAAGATATATATAGTTTGCTCTTAAAGCATCGGACGATTTTACTCGATATATTGTTCTTTTCTTCTACTTCATTCTTCTTCATTTTGTGAAACTTTAGGGCAAACAAGATAGTTACGTTAAAGTAGAAAACTTTTACGTAGAGAATCTAGAGATGAAAAAGATAACAGTGAGATTTTTATTCCCTCCCTATCTATCTATATATATATATATATATATATATATATATACACTAGCGATGTCTGGTCGCGCATTGCTCAATATATCTGTATATCTTAGAAATGTTTGTATTTGGGAAAAAAATATTTTGTATTTGGCCCGATATATTTTAGAAATGTTTGAAAAATTTAGAAATATTTTATAAGTGTGATCATAGAAATGTTTGTATTTGGCATAAAAAGAAATTGTATTTGACCCGGTACGTTTTAGAAATGTTTGAAGATTTGAAGTGTTACTTCTTAAATATAAATAAACTTGATCAAATATATGCCTTGATCTAAATGCTAGACAAAATATAAAAGCATCCTAATAAATTTAAATATTAGTAAGATAATTTATTGATGTTCTCCGGTTGTGCCAAATCAATACTTAGTTTTGGAGATTTATAATAGTTTTGTAGTAAGCTTCCTCCCAAGGATATACGCTTAATTGTTGAAACTATTTCTTCCAAAAGTTTATAAGTAGTAAAATATCAAAAATATGATTTTGAAACTGGTTAATTGATGAAATTGATTGATCACAAATATGAGAATGAAAATAATGTAAATTTGCATAGGTTTCAAGTTATACAAAAAAAAAACTCACCTCACCATGGCAAATAAAAAAAAAGGAAAGTAAAAGATAGCTCATTTAAAATTGAGAAATTTATTTTTTTTCTGTTGGTAAAAATGTTGTATAAAAATACAAATAAACGTAGAAACATCATTCTTTCCCTCTCCGCCTCAAATTCATAAAAGGCTTCTCCAGAAATTAGTTAGAAGAAGCGACCTGAACTATTTAGATGATGAGAAACTAAAAAAAGTCCAAAAACCAAAATTCAAAAAGTATATTCTTGAAAGCCCGAACAAAAAAAAAACACTCTTTATTTGTAAATAAAATAAAATAATAATAATAATAATAATTGATCAACTGGGAGTATGAAACAAAATAAAAAACAATTAAACAAAGAAAAAACACACTTCGTAACTGACCATATACGAAAAAAACTGAGACTCCATGATTAAAAAAAAAGAAAAGAAAACCACTCTAATTGAATGAAACATTAAAAAGAAATTTTGAAAAACCACACTTTGTAACAAAAACTCAATTAATCAATTTAATCCAAACAGAACTAAAATCATACAAAACTTCTAGGCTAACTAACTATATAAGAAATCACATCATATTACCTGACAACGGTTACGGTAGCTGTAACGGGTGGACGCATAAAAATAATAGTAATAACACTATTCTTGAACGGGAAAAACAAAAAATAATAAAAGCCAAACAAATGATCTGTGGAAATAAAATCATTTAAATTTTAATACCTGTAATTGCACCACCACAACGGTCGAAGCAAGATCAATGAGAATTTTTTTTTTCCTTTGTGTTTATATAGAAAGGTAAAGAGAATATTTTTTGAAGTCGAAATTTTATCTGATCAGGATGTAGTTGATCATCACTAATGAAAAGATTGAACATGCTAATAGGAAATGAGCATATTTCACCACATATTCTCAATTGATAATTGATGAGGAATTTGTTTTTTTTTATTGTGGAAAAGAGATTGATTAGGGAGTCAATTGTCGTGGAGATGGGGATGAGGATTTGGGTTTTTTATGAACCTGTCT